CCGCCCCCCCCCCCCCCCCCCCCCCCGTTTTTACGATCTTGACGACCATCAGCACTCGATTTTAGCGTTACGACCGACTCTGCATTTCCTCATCCCCCAGTTGGTTTCTTCATTCTTCTTCTTCAGCCGATGATGGCATTGTGAATTTCTTGGTCTGTCTCGTCGGACAATGACAATAAATCTACCACGCAATATCAAATTGGCCACTTTATGACTTCGTTACTCTTTTTTTTTTCGACCAGCTTCTTTTTCGCCTTTTATTACACGATACAACGTATCTTATCTGCATTCCGGGAATTCTTCTTTGTTTTCCTTATTCGTTTTTCAAGGATCACGCACATACACCAAGCATGAAGGGGGTTTTTCACCATGATACCCAGTGGGCGAACGCGCCAGGCTTTTGAAGGACATGACGCCGCTCCATCCACGATTTCCTTTTTGTCGTTTTTATTCCCTATTTCGTTTTATCATCTAGTCTTGTTATTCGGCCTTTGTCCGATTTTATCTTTTCGGCTTTCGTTTCGCCAGAGAGGGTGTTAGCAACCCTACTCTTGATGAGAAGCATTTGATTTCTAGGGACACGGTTTCGGATGAAGATAGGGATCGGGTATGCATGTACGGCGTTTGATATTATTCTGGCCCTTTCCTTTGTTTCCTGCATCCAACTAATCGGTCAACGTGAAGAAGATTGGAGGTGATGGGACACACCCTTGATGGGGTAAACCCCGTGAGATGCGCATACGAGACCGATTTAGTTGTGGGACGGAGGGAGGATTGAATTTGCTATCTCTACTACTATGGTTGTTTTTTATTTTGGGATTGCCACGCACTGGTCATCCAGCCCGGCTGATTCATATGGCAAGCTAAGCTGGAGGAGTTTCTCGGCTTCTTTTTTTCTTTCTTCTCAAGGGAAGCAAGCAAGCAAGCAAGCAGCGAGAGGGCTTTTTTCTTTTTACATTGGGTCATGGACATGGTCTATAGCAGCTAGTTGTTTCACAGGGGCAGATGACGCTCGACGCATTACGATGGTCTTTGGCCTGCGTTTGCGTGCGCAAATCAATTACAATTTATTTTGATAAAAAAAAAAGCCATCCCTCTGACATGTGATGAGTGACTTTGTCGTGAGATTCCCCATCTCGTGATGTAATATGAACATCAAGGCCTCCCCTCCCAACTATCTAAATGTAACATCCATCCAACCATTCACGGCTTGTCCAACCCCGATCCATGGCTTTCAGCCCTACAAACGGGGGAAGATCGATCTGGGCACGGATCTCCAGAAAAACGTGCAGCGGGATCAACGGGCTTGGTTTGCTCTAGCTAGAATAGGAGGCGCGCGGCCGTTATCGTCGCCGGGCAATGCTTTATCAGTTCCTGTATGCACTCCAGTTTTAAAAAAAAAAAATCTAAAAAAAACTCATCTGCTTTTGCCTTGTGCGGCCATATCGATCGGGGAAGGGGGGGAAAGCTGCAAGCCGGGATGGGATGGGGCCCGCGGCAGGCAAGGATTGGGGGTGTAAGGAGGGAGGTGAGTGGACGATGGACGGGAGGATATTTTAGTTCGGTGGAGAGAGGCGCGAACGTTTTTCTGAGTGGTACGTACCGTGCCGTACCGCTTTGTGAATGAGGTTAGATTAGATTCGATTAGATTGGGAGTGAGATTTGGGATTTTTGAGGGCTTGATTGGGATGAGTTTGTGGTTGGGATTGTTGGAGATGATTGTTTGTGATGGGGGTGATGGTGATGTGGGGGTTCGTATTTGGGGGCAAGGCTGTACTGTGGGTGTCTACGGTAAGTGATTAGGTAGGATTTGTTTGTTCGTGTTCTAAGCAGTGATGTGGGAGGATGAGCAGAGGAACAGTTCAAGTTGCAAAATCAATCAACGCTGTGGTTAATCTGATGTAGGATGAAATCATCAGTCAATCGATGAGTAGTAGCTAGAGCATCTTATCAGCCTCGGCAAAAATACACTCTAGTGGTTGAGAGCAGAAATGAGATGGTTATCGATACACATTCTTGCTTTCACACCATTATTCCCGATACATCTTCCTCATCCTATACCATCACCATGTTCAGCATCCATAGGTACATACACATCCATACTACATGTAGACGAATTCTCGAATTGCCATCCATATTCATCAGCGTCCTTCACTTTGCATGCTCCGTCCCAATCAATAATTCAGTCAAACCAGACCGCATTGATAATTACTACTTAGAAAGTTATCGACATACGCATATAGCCCATGTCCCCTTTCGTTTCAAACGTGTGCATGAACCAGTAAGGCTTACCCTCTTCCATTGCCATAGCAAGTCCTCGGTAGCCATCAAACGACCAAAAAAAACACAATATTGGTACACACAAGCAATGCGTCTATTTATATACGCCCATTATCATCACGTCGTCTTCGCAAGCCGCCCGCTCCCCCCTCTGCCACTACTTATTCTTACACGCGGCTCTGTTTAACGCACCTCAATGTGCTGTACCGCAGTCATCCACTTCTTCTCATCATCCCTTGATTCGTATTGTTAGTTGTTTCATCTCCAGCATAGCATATAGTCAAGAGAAAAGCCGACTTACTTGTCAAACTTGAGAATCTTGCCCAGGACGGGAACAAGCTGCGTCCTCAGCCGACCATCCTTTTGTTGCAGGAACTGTAGCAGAATCGTCTTGAGATAGTCCATGTCGGACAGCTCGTTGGCCGCAGTGGTACGCGTCGAGTCCGTCGATGTCCTAGATGTCGAAACGCCCGACGAGGATCTCGACTGGCCCACGCCCGATGCCGCCACCGTGGCCTTGGTCTGCGCCGCCTTGAGCTCCTTGGAGAGCTTGTCGTGCAGCAGCTGCAGCGACTCGTATTCCTTGCGCAGGTTTGCCTTGATCTTCTCTCCGTCTCGAAGCTGCAGCTCCGACGCATCCAATGCGCTTCTCAGCGACGAGATGGTGTTCCGCAACTCGGTCGACTCCGTCTCCGTCCGAAGCTCGATTGATTCAAGCTCGTCTCGTCGGCGCCGCCAGCTTCGCTCCCGCTCTTCGAGCTCGGCCTTTTCGGCGTGCAAATCCTTGAGCTCTGCCTCCAGCTCCCGGACTCGTGCTTTCAGATCGGCGGCTTGTTTGAGATTCTTTCTCATCAAAGAGCTCGCCTCTGCGTTGAGCTGGTCTTGGTCCGCAGTGAGATTGTCAAGTCGGGTGCGCATATCTCTAAGTTTGGCTTCTCCCTTCTGCTCCGAATCTGCGAGCAACCGCCGCATCGTCTCGCACTCTTGCGTGCGTTGCTGCAACAGATTGCGTACTTCACCAACCTCCTCCTCCAGGGATCTGGTCTGAGTCTGCTGCTCCCTACCCTGGGCCAACATCTCTTTGTGCTGGTCCCGCATGTTGCTCAGCAGCCCCTGGGCCGCATTGAACTGCTTAGTTTTGAAATCGAGCTCCTCTTGGGCTGCTGCCTTCTCGCGCTTCAGCTCGCGCGCCTCCTCCTCAAGCTCCTTCACTCGTGCGGACGCCTTGGAGAGATCGTCCTCAGCCTTTTGCATAGCCCGCTCCGCCTTCTCTGCTTTTGCGCTGAGCTCAACCATGTCGGCTACGGAACGTCTGTAGTCTCGCGCTGATAGACGCTGGGCGTCCTCGGCCTTTTTCTTGTCCTCCGCCTCAATGGCCAATCTGTTTTTGAGGACCCCAATCTCCGAATTGCGGGTGCCTGTCTCCTGTCGAGCACTCGCCAGATGTACCTCGAGTTCCTTTGCTCTCTTATCCAGGTCGCTCAGCTCTTTGGCTTTGGCCGCAAGCTCTCCCTTGGCTATCTTAAGATCCGCAGAATCCTTGCGCAAGTTCTTAATCTCAGGCTGAAGCAGCTGCAGTGTCTCACGCAGATCAGCCACATCTTTGAAACGACTCTGGGCTAGCTGGTTCGCAGCGGCAATGTCAGCCTGCGCCGTCGCAAACTTATCCTTCAAGGAATCATAGTCGTTCTGGAGAGCCTGCAACTTTTCATGCTCATTTTCGGAGACGGCCGAGGCCATCCTCTTCTCCAAAGCAGTAATTTCCGTCTTCAACTCTGCCTTTTCCGCTTCGAGCTCCTTGATTCGCTGCTTGGCCTCGACGTGATCTTGGCCAATGTTGATCAGGTTCTCTTGCAGCGTCTCAATCTCTTCGCGGAGATCGTCCTCAGCCTTTCTCCGCTTAGACAGCCGCTCGATTTCCTTGTCCTTGACTGCCAGCTCCTCCTTCAGACCGGTAATCTCAGCTTCCAGGGCTGAGGTATCTGGTCCTTGATCAGCATCGGGGGCACTGGGGGTACCAGGAGCGACAGAAGAAGAGGGAGAAGCGGGAGGTGCGGGACTAGTAGCGCCGCCGCCGCCGCCGCCGCCACGGCCCTTCTTCTTCTTCTTCTTATTCCCTCCGCCACCTGTTGTAGGCGGTGCGAGGGTTGAGGCAGGCTCGGTAGGGACAGGAGCAGGAACAGAAGGCTGCTTAGCCGACTCTTCCATCGCCTTGGTCATCTCAGCGACCTTTTTGGACACCTCGTCAGCCCTGGCCTGAAGCTCGGTCCTCTCCTTTTTCAACGAGTCGACCTGAGAGCTGAGCTGGTCAATCAAATTCTTAGAGACAGTTCGGGCAGCCTTAGTCTTAGATAACTCCTCAGCCAACTGGCTAGCCTGTTTGATGGATTTGGCAAGCACACCTTCCACCTCCTGGGCCTTGGATGCTGCTTGCTGCTTCTCCGTCTCAAGTTGGGCCTCGAGCTCCTTGTTCTGCTTCTCAGACTTGTAGCATCTGTCTGCCAAGCTGGTGATTTCCGTCTTTCGAGCTTCCAACTGGGCCTGCAGAGAGTCCTCGGAGGCAGAAGATTCACGGGATTCGCTCAGCTGTAGGGCAGATTTCTCCAGTCTCTCTGCCAAATCCGCATTGTCTTGCTTGATAAGGGAAAGCTCTGCCTTCAAGCCGTCCCTTTCGGCTTTCAGAGAATCGATTTCTTCGTTCTTTGCAGCAATCTCGGCCTGTAGCTGGGGAATCTCTTCGTCATAGGAAAAGAAATCGCCATCTCCACCAGATTCTTTCTTTGCCGTGTCATCGGATTGCGGCTTCTTGGCCTTCTGTTCCTTTTCGGCTTTGAGGGCGCTCACTTCGTCTTGCAGGTCCTTGACCTTCTTTTCGCTCTTTTCGTTTTTGTCCTGCATCTCTTGACACATCTTCTGGAGGTCTTCCTTGTCCAAGGACACTCGCTTAAGTTCATCCATGACCATGTCTCCTTTTATCTTCAGCTGGTTGAGATACTCGATTAGAGGCTCCGGATCACTAATCGTAGCTAACGGTGTGTTTTCACGAAGAGCCTTTTCAAAGGGTTCGATGGCGGTGGCACGTCGATGTGCAACGCGGTAAGAGCGTAGAAGTTCTGTTGAATTCGTCATTAGACTTCGCAGTCAGTATCAATCGTCGTGAGCAGGACGTACCGGGATAGGTAGCCTCGAGCTTCTCCAACTTGCGAAGCTTTTGCCGGAGTTCTGGAGTCAGCGCCGGCTTGGTGGCATGAGCAGCTCCATCGCGTGAGGGACCATCTTTGGCATCAGCGTTGGCGTTTGGATTTTCAACAGCCTCGGCGTGGCCAGTGGCCTCTCCGTTGGTCGCGTCCTTCTCGGGAGGCGCAGGCTTTGGTGTTCCAGCTCGGCTCGGCTCGTCGCTGTCGTCAATTACGAAGGCCGCCTCGAATATGGCAGGGTCAGGGTTGGTCGCAGCATCTCCAGCATCAGAACCCGGGTTCTTAGGCCGCGCCTGCTTGCCCGAAGCGCTGTCATTTCTTCGCGACGTCGACGCAGATCGGTTCGCGGACGAGCTGGCTTCAAGCGCCTTTTGTTGGCGGGCTTGTTCCTCTGCGATGCTGCGGTCGATGGCACCTTTGATTCTCTGCAATTAGGGGACACAGACGAACGGTCAGCTATCAAGATACATGTTTCTCTTTCCGTCGAGTTTGTCGGCTTCAAAAAGAGGACGCGCAGCAAGGGGAACTGACTTGAAGCATGGTGGCTCCGACGAGGGGCCTCCCAGGGCCGATGTTGACAGAATGCACGAATTAAAAGTTGTAGATCATAAGAGCTCCCAATAACAGGCTGCAGAATAGAGAATGCGAGAGAAGAGAAACGAAATCGCAAAACAGTGACAAAAGGAGGAAAAGATGAAGGCGTGTTCAAGGGCCGATGTAGCCTCGTGGCATGATTGGTTTCTGGGGAGTGCCAAAGGTTGAATAAGAAGCTCAGCCTCGTTTCGTACTCGTACTGAGCAATTGAAAGGCACAAGGTGCGTTGCCCGTTTCGGGTTTAGCGGGTGGTATTTATCAGAGTTCCATTTAGTACCTTTAGTAGTAATTCTTGGGTATAACTTTCTTTCCACTGGCTGCGGCTTGTTGGGAGAGGCAGGAGCAAGGGCAGGATGTAAGACGTAAACTCTGTGCAAGCGGCGCCTTCCTGTGTACGAAGCGAGAAGCGAGACTTCCATCCCACAAGAAGAAAATTTTTCCATCCTGTTCAACCAATTCTCTTCTCAATCATTCCTCTTCCTCTGCTTTGAAATTCAAAGAGTTCTCGTCCAGTGGTTTTTTCCAATTGACCCGACATGCAATCATCTCGATACCAGGGATTGACGGCGCCAGAGCCTGGAGGGCGCTGTAAGAACATGCCTCAGCACTGCGCATACACTTGGTGAGCCCTGAACAGCTTCTTCTCATCTTTCTCTCTCTTTCTTCCTTTTTTTCAAATCACGTCTGTACTTCTTCTTACCATGGAATCACTACTAGGAGCACCACCATTCTCTTCTCCATTGAGAAATGCAGGCCTTCATTCATGCTTTGACAATTCCTTCGAGTTGACAAGCACAGCATGGCCGGCGGGAGAACAGCAGACCCCAGCCACAGTGTCACACTGCCGCCTATTCAGATTGTTTTCCTCACACATCTGCTTTTGCAACATACGGCATTCGTGTTTTCTTCTTCTTCTTCTTTTTCTCTTTTTTCTTCTTCTCACTTTCCTACTCATTCCACTGGCCTTTCACTCGTCGTCATGCTCCCTCGGCTACGACTTAATACGGTATGACTGCCCTTTCCCCGATTCTACTCGCACCTCACTAACAAGATCAAAGATTCAACGTTTTCAGTCCTGTAGCTTCTCAAGCAAAGGCATCTCCATCAAGTGTCTGCTCTGACCAACTCTTGGGCAATGCGACATTTGCTTTTCTTCAACCTCGCCAAGAGCATCTGTCATGATGTACGTTGCCCACCCCTCCGATGATTCTTGATGGAGAGTGCTAACAAACAAGTGGTGCCAATAGACATTGGCATGATGCCGTCTCTCCTTGTCCACAGTCTGTGACGTTCATCAACACATCAACACATTGAAGCAATGATCCACCACTTTTTTCAGAAACCCACAACGCAGCCGCCAGCTCAACTCTGGCCGCCAGCCCCTCCATCCTACACATCACAACCACAGACAAGATTCTGTCATACACTTGAAGCAGCAGTGCTTGCAAGATAGTGGCAGCCTTATACACACCCTCCGCGGTGACGATAGACTATTCTAGGCTCATAATAGTGTCCTACGTCGGCCTTTGGCCATACAATCACTGTGAGTAACATTCGATACTTTGTTTGGGAAATCAGCTGCTGACTGCTCAACAGCTTGGTACAGGCCCTCCACAATGACAGTGGACTATTTGGCCAGAGATGACGATCAACAACAGAAGCCATTCAGGCTCACAGCTCGAATAGAGCGACATCTGCATTGGAGTTTGACAGTGCAGTTCAAAATCGACACCAAGCATACAATCGAGCTTTCAAGGCTCACGGTAATGTCCCACGCCGGCCTCTAGGCCGTACAATCACTGTGAGTAGCAGTCCACCACCGCGCAATGTTCGCCATTCTTGAGCGCATCAAATAACAAGCATATTAACCAGCTGGCAGTGCCTTCAACGAAATGAATGGCAAATCTTCATCGCAATGGCTGCGGCGTCTTCGTAACAACGTATCTGCTCCCAAGCGCAAGCCCAGTATCGAGAAAAAGCTGCATGATGAGATCATGAAGAGCTTCCTTGGACAGACAGAGACGGAACAAGAGCCACAAGAACCTGTAGCAAAATCGGCCTCTGCTACCAGTCCCAGTCATGTTGAAACCCAGATACGTAATACCATCCGATACGTCACGGTAATGTCCTGCGCCGGCGCATCTGGTCATGCCAGATGCGCAAGACCGTTGATGTGAGTAGCATTGAATACTTTGTTTGGGAGGTCACTTGCTAATCGCTCAATAGCAATTGATGGTCCGGTTGAATGAGAAGAAGGCAATTTTCAACGTTGTCGATACATATCAGAAGAATGGACAAGATTCTGTGCAACACTTGAAGCAGCAGTGCCTGCAAGATATCGACGGATCGTCCAACACGTCACGGTAATGTCCTGCATTTGAAGCAGCAGCGCCTGCAAGATAGCGACGGCCCGACGGCCGGCTTGAGGATTCACAGAGGTTGCTTCCCCTACGCAGAGCTGGCTTCATGATCTGTCCTCGACCATCCAAAGTTTACTCCATCACTTGGGAAATTTTGATTGCCCATCACGCCATTCACCATATCTTTCTCATTCCACTCGTTTGACTAACCGACTCTAAATCACTCGCTTTTTCCTTTTGTGGTTCTTTTCGTCACGGCAATGTCCTACATCTGAAGCAGCCATGTTTGCAAGATAGTGGCAGCTTGGTGCAGGCCCTCCACAACGATGGTAGACCTTCCAGCATGTCACGAAAACGTCCTACAGACAACGGCAAATCGGCAGGTGATTTTGGCAAAGCAATGAAAGCTCTATTCCAAGCATACCCTCAACCTTTGTATCATATGTATGCTGTGAGGTGGACATGGGAGATTGGCACGTTAGCATGTAAGATGGTATTAATAAAGCGCCTAGTCTATGCATCACACACAGTAGACAGCTCAAAGAAAATGAATCTTCGTATATTGTGATTAATGCCGCCCCAGAGATTGAGACTCCTGCAGCAAGTGATTACCCTTCCATCCCCTCTCGCATGTTGGAGTATGTGAGAATCATGGAAGAAGAAACATATTTCGCTTCGATAAAGTCCGAAGCTGTCCCATCTTCTTTCTGCTCAATCATGCATTTTCCATCTCCCGAGATGGCAATCTAGGATAACTCGTCGCCGTACTTCATCACCAGGATGTAACCACCATCCTCGAGCCTCTCTGTCGTGAAATAGTCGTGCATATTCTGGAATGAATGACCCGCGCCTTGGATCGAGATTGTACCCTGACCATCATTATGCTGTTCAATTCCATTAGCTACAACGATCTCGAGGCTAACATGGAGATTGAAAATGCCTGTACCTATCTGAGGATGATATTTGGAGTCGCTTGTATTCAAAGCAACTGTCGCCGACATGTTGAAGATGTGGCATCACGGGATGAATTGCCCGTCAATAGAAGTTTTTGGCAGAGGGTGTAGAAGTGATGCCATTTCATGGCCCTCTAATGGGCATCGGTACCCATTGCATCTCTCCCGATTCGGTTCAACTCGGATGGGAGGGAATAGCTGTTCATGCGAGAGGCCGACGAGATTTGTTTCTAGGCGGCAGGGTTTCGAGAGAAGTTGGTGGCCGTATGCAAGGTGGAAAACAACCTGCAAGTCACCGCGTAGAGCAACGAGTGCGCATGTCTTCTGCTAAGATGTGGCCGTAAGATCGATGCCTTCCAGTAGAAGAGCGTGCGACATCCGAGGAGGTTGGTGCTAGACACACGGGGGGTTAGTCGATGGTCTTCATTGAAGATGTGATTGATGGTGTCCAGAAGAATTCTATTACCTTTAGGGCCGAAGCGACGAGAGTGTAGAACGAGAGGAGGGCGGTGTCGTTGCCTTTTTGTTGGATTGTTCGTTCCGCTGGGCTACAGGATGGAGGCATGCGTGTATCGTGGATGAGCGTACAGACATTCTCTTCTTTGAAGTCGAGAAGTTGTAAAAAGGCAGTGTTGTACTAGACAGACATTGTGGATGGGTAGGTAGGTAGGTAGCGAGTGTCTCGTCAGTATCTCAATTTCAGGAGGAGCTGTCGTGGGATATTTTGGTCATCGCTCGATAATTGGAGGCTGGGGACGGCCACCCAGGACGTACCAACAGTATTCAGAATGGGAAGCAAACATGAACATCTACTCTCGCCGGTTTTTGAACACGTGGTAAGTTAGAACTTCCAAAGAATTATCCGATTTTCTGTCATTGTTGGCAAGATGAATTATTCGCGATAAATGGACTACACGTTGACTTTTGTAGAAGAGTGTAGGTTAGTGCGTCACAAGATCCCCCATCTTCATATTTACGTACCTAGAAAAGTTTGCCGCAAATTTCCGTGAAGGAGCAGAAAATCTACGAGCGCGATGCGTTCAGTTATCGTCTACGTGATATTTGGCTTTGACGGCGTTGCTTGCTGGGGGACGATTGACCTGTCGATATCAAATAAGAACACCATTTTCGCTGCTTTTTCCCAACGTTAGATCGACAACGTCGGCTGAAGCGACTCCTTAACTTCCAATATTCTACAGAAAAATCAACTTCATCTCTGGATGCTGCCAAGCAATGCGCAGTTTACGGATACAGGGTGGCAGAGGCAAAGCTGCCCTTCTTACTACTGGCCACTGTGATAAGAACAGCACTGCCTACAAAGGCTGGGCGAAAGGATTCCAATATCTGTACTCCGTACCTGAGCGGGAATCAATATTACTCCTACAATCTCCTGGATTCATTGCTAAAAAAGAAAAGCTTGAGACGCGGTTGGCGCTGGCTCCGCGTTGCTTTCCTTTCTCTACGGGTTACACATGGCTCGGACTCGCCGTTGGTGTAACCATGGCACAGCATTTTGCAGCTCATGAGATACAACGTCATGTCGAGTTCGCGAGGAGATTTGTATGGATACCTGCGTCATGCCGGGCGGCTGATTGCTTCCAACACAATTACATGGACGCATGTAAGTGGCAGCGGGTTTCCAACTACAGCAGATTTGAGACTGGTGGCTGGCGACCAGGAAGCAAATGACATGCTGCCTCTGTGTTTCTTGACGTCAGAACCAAGACTTGACGTGGTTTGTACTAGAATACAGGTTGATGCCGCTGGTCTACCCTGCCCAAGTGTCCAAGGAGAGAATTGGCGATGTAGTGCTCTTGGAGATGTGAAGTGATTGTCTTCAATTCGACTTGTGTACTCGACGGCGAATTTACGGAAAAAGAACACAACCTACTGCGAGTATCGAGTCTTGACAGGGAGAATCACGTTGTTTGCCCAGCCTTTTCCGACCAGATACAGCCTGGTGTTTTCCGAAGAGCAGCGGCGGATGGATGGGTGCCGCAACCGGAGGATGGAGTGTGTCTCAGGGTGAATACACGCAGCATTGACCATCCTAATCACGGCCGGGGGGGAAAGCAAAGAAGGGCGTTGTGTGTATCTGGAAGTTGGTGAGGGGTATTGCCAATGGCTTGTCTCTGCCTCGCAATATAATCTGCCAGCAAAGCAAAACTGCCGGTTGAGCCAATCGAAAGGCCTGCGTGTGTACAGGGATCGACAGCCTCAGCGGAAACGCTCGTACATACTGTAGTCGTGGTTGGCGGTTCAACAAGCTCACCGGTTCGGCTTGCAGCAATCTCGGCTAACCGACTGCGACTGTGGTGTGTTGTGAATGGATCACGATAGACTGCCGATTGGGGTGGCTTGTGAATGTGCGAACACGTACAGCACCTAGCAGTTTCCATCGTGATCCCTCCACCGGATGTTACTGTCATTGGACGAATAACAATGCAGCGCTTTGTAAGTGCATGGCAGCTTCGAGCACAAAGCAAAAACAAACCGGCAGTCACCATGCGAAGGAGCCTGAAATCCTGACGGTTGGGCATCTGGGCAGCTCGGGTCGACTCAGGTTAATTAGACAAACGGGGGGGATCCCAGGCCAAAAGCCCGGCCGGTCAAGCCATATCTGCAGCCTTGAAGCAGCTATCGAGTCGCACACAGTCGGGACGAGTGCCTTTCTTGTGGCTGCTGTATGAAGCAGGGAGGAGGAGACGTTGTCTTGACCGCCGAAAAAGAAAAAAGTAGGCCATGCAGGTCGTCAGCCATGTTTCCTTTTTGCAGTGAGTGAGGGAGAGGAGAGGCACACACACGATGATGGCTAGTGGCCGTTTTTTGTCTTACAATAGAGTCAGCGAGTTGACAGAGAAGCAAGTCGGAGATTTTTCGAGAGCTTGATTGCTACCTTAATTCTTGGTATGAACGGGCAACAAAATACGGCGAGATTCTGTCTCTTTTTGATTTAGCAGCCACGAACCGAGATCGAGATGGCTTCTAGATCCGGTTACTGTATGAGAATGGATAATGCCCGTATTTTCGCCTTCTCGTAACAATGCTCGGTACGCGCACTCGCAAAAAGAACAAGAAACATTCAACGTGCGGATTTACGTCACAAATGGGCTGATTGGCGAGCCCCCCGCACTGTGTTGTCGCTCCTTCCTGCTCCCTTGCGTCGAACCCCTTCCCACTTCCTGCCACACTTGCGACTGCTCGAACTAGGCTCGGTCGGAGCAGATTCTCCGAAGATGAGCCTGACCAATCACTCGCCGCATAGCTGCGGGGGGCTGAAACGGGGCCCCACCGGCGCGGGTCTTTCCTTTTCCACTAAGGCAGGCGCAAAGTATCGAGTAACCCGGTTCTTTGCCTTCCCATTGCAAATGGTACCTGCGAAAGCAACCAGGACACACGCCCCGAGTACTACTAAAGGTACGTACTGTAACTGTGCTCGTGTAGGTCAACTGTCCAGTCCAGTCCAGTCCAGTTGGATTCAGTCCAGTTTGGTTCGGTTGATTTTCGTTTGGTTTGGTTCCCGCTGGGCTAGTTGGTGGGCGATGCCGCTGCTACAGTACCATAGCCGTACCTTATTTTGCTAGTCCTCCCGTCGTTGCGTGTAAGCCGGAGCGTTTGGTGTCTCAGCTAACACATCGCTAATCTCAACGGTCAACATGGGGGAGCATCCTCCACGTAAGAAAACGACAATCCATCAGCGATATATCCCGTCCCAGATCCGGCGTCCAGCTTTCACGCGAGTTTGCACCGATTCTTTCTCGTCCAGCTGCCGCCCATGTTCGTGTCTCTCATCTTGCAGCGCAGTGTGAACAGCCAGCATGCTCTCCTCGCAAGCCTCCTCTCTTCTCACACCCCCTCTCGAGACGGCTACCTGCCTATCAGATCCCATGGCAGCTATTGCAGTACATGTCTAGCTTGCCGCTGAGGCTGAGGTGTTTGTGCAGCTGCAGCCAGCCACATGCTGGCCGGCAGCCTTGCTCGCTTTTCATGGCTTTTCAATTCTTCCAGTACTTGGGGGCATCCCATCCTCGCCTTCAGCTTCGAGCCTAGTCTCGTTGTCCCCCCTCCTTCTTTTCTATTCGGACATGATACTGTTCTTCTCTTCTTGCGTCTTCGGCCTTGCTCCTCTCTTGACACTACTTCATACGCAGACGCTGTCTACTGCCATACGGGTGACAACACCCTGTTTGCCGCGCCGAGCTCTCGCCTCTTTACCATGCGGGCCCCAGGAATGATGGAAGAAGACACAGTCACCGTGAAAGGAAGCAGCAGAAGCAGCATTTCTTCAGGAAAAAGCAAATGCGCAATGGAGGACACGAACAGAAAGCCTATGCTGCTTCGCATTCCCAACGAAATCATCGGACAGATTGGAGCGTGCCTCGAAGAGAAGGGCGACATTGCTGCTTTCGTGAGGACGTGCCGTCTCTTCAACGTCATGTTTGGCGATGTTTTATACCAGCGAGATCAGATGTATCGCAAGTACAAGCAGGATTCCTGCCTGACATGGGCCGCTACCCAGGACAAGGTAGACACCCTCAAGAGGGCCATCAAAGCCGGCATCCGCTTGGAAGACCACCCATACCTCATCTTTGTCGTCTCGTGCACTGGAAGCCCCAAATGTGCTGAGCTGGTGCTGTCGACTCCCGGAATCAACCCAATGGCCGAGGACGACCGAGGGTGGACGCCCATCACCCTCGCTGCCAGCTTCGGGCACGCCAATATTGTCAAGAAGCTCGTAGAGCATGGTGCGAGTTGTACAGCGCTTACGAGCTTTGGCTGGTCGCCCATCAGTGTGGCCTGTTGCCGTGGGAGCCTTGGTGTTGCAAAGCTCCTGTTGGACGAGTACGGTGTGTCGATGGAGGGTGATTACGGGATCAACTGGTCAGCGCTGAGGTCGGCCTCTACTTTCGGCCACGCAGACATCTTGACCTATCTTCTCAAACGAGGGGCCGATCCAACCCCCGAGGCAGGTGGCTGGAGTTGTCTGCACATAGCAGCCGATGGCGGACACACCGAGGCGGTCCAAGTGCTTCTTGACCATGGTTTCAACCCTACGGCCGTTGCAGACGAAAACGGCTGGACTCCCTTGACCCTCGCGGCCGACAAGGGACATTACGATACAGTTCAACTTCTACTGGATCGAGGTGTTAATACCGAGCAGAAATGTACCAACCGATGGACGTCTCTCTGCATGGCGGCAAACCGCGGCGACCTCAGAATGGCCATGCTCCTCGTTGGCCGTGGAGCAAACGTCATGGCCAAGGCCGTCGGTGGCTGGAGTCCTATAACACTGGCTGCGACGAATGGCCACCTGGATATAGTCAATCTGTTGCTCGCCTACGGGGCTGATATCCATATGAAGACGCTGTCAGGCTGGACGCCGCTCATGGCGGCTGCGGACGGTGGGCACGCCTCACTGGCCAACATCCTCCTAATCTGCGGCGCTGATGTGCAGACCAGCAGTTCAACGGGGTGGAACTCTTTGATTTGCGCTGCAGATGGCCGTCATTTGCAGACCTCAAGAATCCTCTTGAGCCACGGTGCCGACATCATGGCCACCACCGCCGCAGGTTATACTCCAGGTATCAGAGCTGCCTATGCAGGAAGTTATCGTCTGTTGAACATGTTTCTCAAAACGCGCGGCTTCCAGCTTGATCATCTGGACAACCTAGGCCGCTCGGCATTCTTCCACGCCGCCATGCGAGGGCACACAAAGGTCATTAAGAGGCTACTACCCTTGACCAGCATGGCGAACGCGAGGGACAAGTTTGGATCGACTCCCATCTTCGCTGCTGCCAGGAACGGGCACCGCAAAGTGGTGGAGCTCCTTATCAACGAAGGCTTTGCGGATTTTGCCGAGAGAGACTTTCTGAACTGCACTCTTTTCGCCCACGCCCAGCGATCCAACAGGAGGCAGCTTGTCAAGTATCTCAAGAGACACACCAAGCAAGCCAACATCCCCATCTGGCTGGAGGATCCTGCAGGCAAGCAAACGCAGCATAGGTGGGATCACGCAACGTGCCACTGCAACGTCTGCGGCCGAGCCAGCGTCCACGTGGAGCAGGCGTATGTCTGCGAGGACTGCAACGGCGGCATGGTTCTTTGCGCGGAATGCATCAACGCGGGCCAGACGTGCAATAATATCAATCACATTTGGACCGCGCATCGGTGTTTGTGGAACGACGAGTTTGGCTGGACACCGCCTTATCTTTTGGCCGACGCCGATTTACGCAAGATTTTTGAAGTTGATGAAGATGGGAATGCAATTTCTGATGTAGAAGAAGAAGATGTATAGGATGGCAATGACGTTGACGGTAATGATGATGCTACTGATGAAGTGATGATTATGGGAAGTTGATTTTCAAGACAAAGGAAGATCTAGGTAGGTATTTTATATAGATACCAGGTACACATACGTTGTATACAAGGTCAGATACGTCAAGAATGTTGGCACAGAGGTTTTGTATCCAGAGCGAAATAGGAGCTTAAAATTATTCGGTTTTCTTGGTTTTTTTTTTAATGTTCTTATTTATTTACATCTTTTTTTTTATTCATCGCCACGACATCATGTCACAGCCGATTTAAAAAAAAACTCGGTATTTGCTTTTCTCGGAATCAATTGACTTGTCAGATGGGCATTATGCAAGATCCAAGACCCTGATTACCCTAGTGGGTGAGATGCGATCGGCCAACGCGGAGGGTGCCTGGCATGTATTGAAACGCGGAGGGCGTTTCAAGGGTTGCATTTTTAATATGTACCGGCGGCAGAATACGAAGAAGCATCCATCAGCCGGACGGTTTAACAGGTGGTACCTATTATGCGAGTACCTCCTGAAATGTACCGCTGTCAAAAACAGAAAATGGAGGAGACACATTGTGGCGCACTCGGGCTATTCAAGGTTGTTTTTTTGGGGCTTTTGAATTCTGGTCAATTCGCTGTCAGGCACAAGGTTAAATCAATCAAGTCGCCGTTTATTAGATTCTCAAACTTGATGGTTATCTACCCATATAGCCAATGCCCTTTGAATAATATAATAGGTACCTCAGCAGGTAGTTAGCAGTATTGTCGACATATCAGGCTGTAATACCAACCAATTAATGTGATGGCATGACCTCCCTCCAACTGGAAGGTCACTGGCCTGTGGCTTGCCATCCGGGGTAGCTGCTGCACGCGCTGTGGCTCAGCACTCCAACCGCCAGTAACTGCCAGTAACTGCCACTGAATCAACCAAAAATCCTCCCCCACCTGCCTGTGGCGCGCCTCTCCCACCTGCCCAATGAAGTCACCACGAGCTCATTTCAGCCTCTGTGTCCACACTAGCCAAAAGGTACTTCTTCATCCTGCCGGAGCTACTCGCTAGGCCCAAGTCACTCCATTTCGTTGCCTCTTCTTGTCTCGTGCTTCTCCTCTGTGAGGGCTCACGAGGCTTCAACCAGCCTCAACTCTGTCTTTGCCTGCGGCTGCGCCGTTGCAGAGCCTTCAGCTTCAGCCTCTTGCCTTCCCTGCCAGCTCCTTGCGCGAACCCCCTTTTCCCTGGAATCTTGCGCACCCTCGCTCTCGTTCCCTGGAGAACCAACCAAGAGCCTGCCTTTGGCAACAACTCCAATTCCAATCCCAACTCCAACCCTCACCAGACTCTCCTTTAACCCCCCTCAAGCAGTTGCCCGTCATGGTGTCGTTTTGGCCGTTCAAGGTGAGTTTTTGATTTTGCGATGCTTGCCTGTGCTGTTCTCCCTGGCTTCAAGCTGCTGACTGCCCCGGCGCAAACCAGAGCGACGACTCCTCGCCAGCGTCCTTCGAAAAGGCGCTCTCGGCCCTCTCGAAAAAGATTACAACCACCCAGACTCGCCTGGAATGGACTCGCCTGCGGTCTCGCAAGATCAAGGTGCTGGGAACCCTCTACACCTCCTTCGCCTACCTTGTCAGCGTCATTGTCCTTCTCCTGGTTGTGGGATATCCCAATCTAGGGCCCTGGGAATGGACCGGCATGGCTGGCGGGCCTGTCTTGTGAGTTTGTCCCTTGCCTTTGTCGAGACTTTACATGGAAGAGCGCATTGCCTGTCATGCGCATATACACACGCAACGAGTATTCGCAGATTGCTTCTTCCCCCCCCTATATCCCCTACCCCTGGCTGACGATTCAACCGTTTGTTGGCGTCACACAGCATCTACACAACGCGCGTCGTCATCACCAGCTACTACAACTTCCGCATCGAAAGCCTCGAGGCCAAGCTCAAGGCGCTGCAAGAAGAGCGCGGCAAGACGATTCAAAAGCTCAAGGATGCGACAAAGTACGACTCCACCATGGAGCTGATTGAGAAATACGGCGGCCCCGACGGCAGACCACGAAGCAGGCAGCAGGAGGGCCCCGAGGAGCCATCTGATGCGAAGAAGACGCAGCAGGGGCCTTGGACCATGCCGGAACGCATTCACATCTCCCCTCCCCCGACTGCCAACATCCCCCGACGAGAATTCTCGCCCGCCTCGCTTGCTCCCAGCAGCCGACCCGTCACGCCCCTCGCCCAGAGCATCGCCTCTTTCGACACCACAGCCGAATTCGCGCCCAATGCCTTTGGCAATGCCCTTCCTCCTCCTCGCCCCCAGTCGGCGCAGAGCCAGCTGTACAGCATCCCGCCGCCACCGCCCCCCTCCGAGCCTCATTGGTACGATCGCATCTTCGACGTCCTTCTGGGCGAGGACGAGACCGCGGCCAAGAACCGCATCGTGCTCATCTGCCGCGCATGCCGCGTGGTGAACGGGCAGGCACCCCCGGGCACCAAGAGCCTGGGCGAGCTGGGCATGTGGAAGTGCATGGCTTGCGGGACGCCCAACGGCGAAATGGATGAAGGAAAGCGCATCGTAAGAGAAGTCCTCAAATCACACGAGAAAGACAAGGACGCGAGCTCGAGCAAAGAGCCAACAACGCCGGAGACTGACGATGGTGACCTTCAAGCCGGGGAAGACGAGGCCGACGGGCCAGCTGCTGCGGTCAGGGCCAGGAGATCAGCGAGAAGTAACAAGTAAGTGGCTGCGGATGACTCTGCAACGGGGTAGGCGTATCGGTTTTTTGCAGGCTAGAAGAAAGGCCTAGGTTCTTGGGGGGTTTTCATGGGCAGGGTGGATGGAAAAAGAAGACAAAAAGAAACTGGAAAAAAAGAGAAGAATCAAAACAAGAAGAAACTCGACGGGATAAAGGGGGAAAGAGAGGAAAAGGAGAGGAGAAAGAAGAAGAGAAAACAAGGGCTCGGAGGAAGGCGTACTGTTTGCTTGCAGTGATATCTCCCCGCATGGTTTTTTTGCTTTTTGCTTTTTTTGCTTTTTGCTTTGTTTGCTTTTTTTGCTTTCATTGCTGGCCTTCTTCGTCTTTTACCCCCTTTTACTTTTCTTTTCATATGACTGCTTCTCGCAGCTCGCCTTTGTAACCGGAGTAATTTTCTTGACTTTTCTTTTTTTCATTTCTGCTTTGAAGAATTTACCCTTGACATCTCCAAGGTTTTACCCTTGGGTATTGGCCACCTATGCCCATCTTTTACCTTGCCTTTTTTACCTCGCTATACCTAACATACGACTCATCTTCCTCCCCCCCAATACCTACCAAAAGGTGGGGAAAAGAAGGCCCAGAGTTGACATCCGCAAGACATGTATCACATGTATCTAACAGATCATTTCTTTTTCATTGCTTTGCTTGTCTGTTTGGCGATTCGTCCCTCTGATTGGATGGCATGTCATCAGTCGCAAGAGCGCATCATGGCTGGATAGACAGGACAGGACAGGATTAAGAAAAGAGTCATTAGCACACGACTTGTTTGAAATAGGCATGATGAATAAAAAAAAACATCTTCACATTGCAAGTCTATCTATCGCTGTCCATTCCATCATTGCAAAATTGTAGTGGCCAGCTCCCCCATTCAACTACTTTTTTTTTTGGTGATTTTCGTCTTGTTTTTCCCACCCTCTCTCTCTCTCTCTCTTGTCTGTTTCGTAAGGGAATCATTTTTCATATCTACCTTGACTTCAAAAGGCTACCCTGGGCATCCTTCGACTATGCCCGGGCACCAAAATCTTCTACCATCCATTTCATTAGTTGGCGGCGTAGTATGGTCCAAAAATACATTGCGCAACATGGCTTGATCCATGGCTCCTGTCCGTCTATATAGGGCTCCAACTCCAATTCATCGTTTCCGCACCTCGGTGGCCCAGCCGTCAATTCCCTCTCCACGGCTGCCGACCTCCAGGCCCTCAATCTTGACGCCCTTCATGCCCGGCGTGTCGTCCAGCCACGGGTGACCTGCCATGCCGCCGGCGTTGGCGCGCTTCTCTGGCACGAGCTCGAGCATCGGAGTCAGAAAGGCCGAGATGCGCTTAGCCTCGTCCTCTTTGAAATGATATTTCTCTCTCAGGACATCTGGTAAAGCCCAGTGCCTCAGCCTATGAATGTTCCGGAGCTCTCCCTTTCTGTTAAATATCTCCTGGCTCCATTTGCCACTGAGGCACAGAGATCGTGGGAAGGGGCCCAGCAGCTCGATGATCTGCGCGATGTGGTCGTCGTCCTTGCCATACTTAGTGCCAGACTGGGGATCGAACAGATAGTCGCCCGTAATCAACTCGAACACCTATCAACGCTTGTTAGTTGGATCGAGGGCACGTTGACAAAAACAAGTGAATCAAAAAGAGGCTTACCATGGCAGACATGCTCCAGACATCTGTGCTTGCACCCCACTTTGCGCCTAAAATCACCTCTGGAGATCGATATTGACGCGTTTGAATATCGTTGGTGAAATGGTGATTGACCCAGCATGCATTGCCCAGGTCGGCAATCTTGACGCTAATCACCTCGAACGCATGCGAATCATCCGCCTTGCGCTTGTCGCCGGTTGAGCCCGACGAAGGTGTGCTGGATTTGTCTAGAGAGATACCCGACACTTCGCGAGTCAGGAGGTCACTAGATGGCGGCAACAAACAGTCTTGATGTTAGGAAGGAGAACCAAACAGTTTTGACATTCGCGTTGGACAGGGCGCAAATGGAAAAGAGAGGCAACAGAGATTTCAAAACTTACGCAGACTTTTCTCTCTTATGAGCGTCGTCGGCCTTTGGCGATCCGTCCTTGTTCTTACCTAGAAACAAAGGAAAGAGCGTTAGAAGAATATCAAATGCAAGAGAGGGAGGAGGGATAATACTGGTCGTACCTTCCAGCATTCCAGCCAGGCTGCCCTGGGAAGTTGATGATGGGAATAGGTTGTTGTGGTTGAAGTTGGCGTTGAGGGGAGACGGCAACGGCTGGCTGCCAGTAATGAGCGTCCTACGCCTTCTGCGGCCGTTGCGGTTGTTCTCTTTGTCGGGCGTCTCGGGCTTGACCACCTTCTTGACAATCTGCTCGACGTCTCCAATCTCAATCAGGACGTTTTCGGGCTTGAGATCGGTGTGGATGATGCCGCACTCCCGGTGGAGGTAATCCAGGCCCAGCAGGACCTGCTTGGTGATTTGCTTGACAAGAGGCATGGGGATACCGCGGTGGTTCCATCTCTTGATGAGGCCCAGCAGGTTCTCGCCCAGCACCTCAAACACCATGCACATGTGGGTTCCGTTGGGGCCCTTGTGTTCGAACGAGTCGAGGAGGCTGACGACGTGCTTGCGGCCGGGATGGTTGGGGTTAGCCTGGACGATCTTGTTGAGAAGCTTAATCTCATCGACGGCCGTCTCAGTGTAGTGGGTGGCGGAGCGCACCACCTTGAGCGCGACGTGTTTGCCGTTGGTGTTGTCCCGCGACAGCCAGACGGTCGAGAAGTGACCCCAGCCCAGCTTGCGCACAACCGTGTACTTGCCGTCCTTGAACTTTTCGCCAATCTGGACGGGGTGATAGCCGCCCTTGCAGTAGTCTTCGGAATCTTCCTCGTCGGCCGTGTTCTCGGCGGGGTCGTCAGCCGCCGACGACGACGACGGCGAGTGAGCCATGGTGGCGCTGGGCAATTGGCGGGTTCTAGATTGCAGGCAAAAGCAAGCAGTAGCAGTTAGCGATCGCGACTCGGGCTTGCGGAAGCGCGTCCACAAGGAGAGACGGTGGCAGGTTTGATGGGATGGGATGGCCAAGCAACCACCTGGCAGCAAGACGATGGAATGGAGAGAAAGGGACCGAGTTGGAGACAGGCGGGCGCAGGGATAATGGATCTTGATTGGGCGGTCTATTTGTGAAGGGGGGGGGAGAGGCTAGCGGTAAACTCCAGCCAAAAGAAACGCTTTGCGGGGTGACGGTATCAAGATTGTAAGCCCAATCCACAGCCTACAAGCAACTGCGCGTGCGAGCACTACTGGCAGCGGCAGCGGCAAACTCAAGGCGAGATGGCATCTGCCAGCCAAGGTACCCGTAGATGCCAAGGACATCACGTACTTGACGCTACAATGGCAGCATGGCCGCAGTAGCGCTCATGGCAGCAGCAGCAGCAGCAGCAGCAGCATCGAGTAGGAGCATTTTGGAGCCAAGCGGGCCGCCCACTTGGGCGCGATAATCAAAGCCAGAAGCCCCTTGCACATGCTCTTGAAAGGGGTCCTGTCGCTCGAAAGGGGGTTTGAAAAAGAGGATATAGACAAGTAGGTACTGTAGGAGAAAAGGTGAGGGGAACCTGGTCTTGAGAAAGCTCATGCTGTCTTTGACATTATGCAGCGTCTGTCCGCGGCAAATGGTTGGGCAATGAGACTTCGCGGCTGGTTTCGGGCAGGGCCTATCCCAAAGATGGGATGACGAGAGGGACAATAAAAAGGGCCCGTTTTGGCTAACCAGGAAAAGGAAGAGAAGAAAAAAAGAAGCAAATGTAAATAAATGAAAAAAAGAAAGAAACAAGGAACGGCAAAGTGCGCACAGAGCACAAACAGTAGAGAGCCTCGGGCTTTTTCCCTTCTTGCCCAGGCAGCAAACCGGGCAGACAAGGTGAGGGTTATTCTGGTAGAGGCGGTATCGTGACAAGGTGACAGAGGGGAGAAAGAACGAGAACGGCGTGGCAGCGAGAGTGAGACTGGCTGGCTGAGCACACACACACGCATCGACAGCAAGCCAAGTCTTCATTGGCTGGACACACCAATGATGACGGCGAGCAGCTGAAAGCGGCAGCAACAAGCCCGTCCCTACTAAGGCCGTGGCTGTTCGATTCGACTACCCGCCCGAGCCAGCCCCTCCAGTGGGGCAACGCTCTCAGACGCCGGCAGCTCTGCAAGCGGCGAAGCGCCCTGAAGCTCTCTCTGCCTCATATGGGAGTTGTGAGACAAGCGAGAGAGAGAGAGAGAGAGACGGAGGGATGGGGAGGAACAAGGTTGGAGTACGGGAGGATAACGACAGCGCCGAGCCCCCTTTCCATGCCATCAACGGGCAGGCAAAAGCAGGTATCCGAATACACAACACGAGACTGGCAACGGGACCAACGGGATTCCCACGGAGCAGCAGCACTCGGGCAACAGCGCGGAACCCTGGCCACATGGGAAGACGCAGCAGCAGACGAAAAGTGCAGCTCCATCGCCGTGGCAGCGGCAAACAACGAGAGCAAGGCAGAAAACAAGGTGAGCCGTCGCGAAATCAAAAATCAAACACAACGCAATACAACACAAAGCAGAGCAAAACGACGCAATACAACGCAAAGCAAAGCAAAGCAAAGCAAAGACAACCCCGGTTCGGCGCAGGACTCGGCGGTCATCAGCCTCGGAGCGGCCTCCAGCTCGTCACTCGACGTTTGTCTGCGGCCCCGCTGATACGAGTAGAGAGAGCATCTCCATCAGGGCCTCGCTCCAGCACAGTGCTGTAGTGGGTGACGGTGATGGCATGGAGCCAGGGGCAAGAATGCACATGAAGTAATCATAGCCTTCTGCCCTGTTTTTTTCTGCAGCTTCTGGGCTCGACTTGAGCAAATGCCGGGGCTCGGGAGGACCAAGATGGTGGAGCCGGCCATGTCATAGAGCGGGCACAGACAATGAGGGGCTAGCCATGGCGTGTGTAACGAATGAAGAGGCCATTTTGGCATGCAAAGGCCATGCAGAGGGCAAAAACAGGAATAGGAAACGAACCTGCGGCTGCGAGTGTGATGATGAGGGATGTGACGGTGGAGTTGGACAAGTCGGTCAGGCACCCGGAGGGCCTTGCCAATGGCAGGGCAGAAGATGCAAACGATGGGCGGATAGACAGACACGCAGCTTTGCGCCAGTGACCCCATGCTCGTCTCATCATGCCCGTTGCCCGCAAGGCTTCAAGGGTTGGAGGGGTCACGTCGTACGGGCAGTGAGAAACAATCAAAAATAAACAACAACAAACGCGGACAAAGGGGACGAGGACGAGGGGGGGAGGCCAAGAATCCTTTGAAAAGACAGACAGTCCATGAAATGCCAACTTACTCGTGCATGTCCACGTCCTGCGACTTAGACGGCTTGCCTGCTCCCGATGCCGCATCTGCGTCTGCAGGCCGCTGCGATGGTGGCCCCTCCATGGTGATGATGGGCTTGAGGCCGTCCTTCTTGCGCTTCTTGATGCTGACGCCAGAGCCGCTGGAACTGGGGGGAGCTGAGGCCTCTTTATGGGTGTTGGCGGCATCCACGTCGCTGCCGCTCATAGCTGCAGACGGCGTCGTTGCTGCAAAAGCAAAAGAGGGAGGCACAAGCAAAAGTTGGTGAGGCGGAGGGGGGAAGATGGACGAGATGGACGAGGGAGGGCAAGGACAAGGATTGGCCTGGAGGGCGAGGCTGAGTTGGGTATCGATAGGATAGGATAGGATAGGATAGGGTGGCAGGAGCGAGTGCGCGTGGTTGCTGCTACGGACCGGGCTATCGTGCCTTGTGCAGGTAATGGCAGGCGCGTGAGATTTCTTATTTTCCTTGCTATTTTTTTTCTCGATAATACTACTAGGTAGGTAGGTACGGATTAAAAAGGCCTCTCTCTACTATGTGTGTGTAAGACCTGCGGGATTCGCTACGACAGCGGTTGCAGCTGCTAACGCTCTTTCCATCGGCTTCATCTTGTTCCTGCATTTACTAGTGTGATGGGAATTGATTGAAATCAAAATGCAAGGATTAAAAATTGAAATTCAAAATAGAGAAAAAGAAAAAGAAAAGACTCGACCATTCATGTACCCATGTGTTTGTAGAAGGGGAATGGAAGGCGATGATGCATCGCTACAGCATTACCGTACTACCTAGGTAGTCATGAGGAAGGCACAGACTAGGAAGCAGCGATGCCCTACAGTAATCGACTCTGATTGCGCGGATCCTTTCGCAATGAACAAGTCCAACTTGACAGATCAGAGAATCACTGCGGTGTGATGGACGGAATCAAACGAGCGCATACACACGTCTCTTGCAACGAACCTTTCGGACAGCATCGGCTCACAAAGGAAATGTCTCGTGTTGCAAGACCGACGGCGTCAGCTGAGATCGACCCGCGAATGGCCGTCGAGGTAGCGGCATGGCTTGGAATTCACTCGCTGCAAGGCCGTTGCGCAATTACACACTGCAAGAAAAGCAGCAGGCCTGTTGACCACTGGCTCAGCTCGGCGCTAGAGCGCTATTACATTAGTACCCGTATAGTACGGAGTGTTGATGCCGGCCAAATCTCGACATGCGTGGTCAGTGTTGGAGTCGAGGCCAGTTTCAAAATTGACAGAGCAAATATCCCCAAGTAGGCGGTGACACACAACAGCCGTTGGAAGATGCTAACAAAGGTGCCAGCGCATTGGATTTGAAAAAAAATCTTCGACTCAGGCTCGCCTTCTTTTGATAAAACCGTCGTCGGGGCCTAGGAGCGGTCCGATCCGACATTGTTAACGAACCGGTTGGCAGCGAAGAAGAGACAAAGCATTGGTAAAAAAACCTGGAAAGAAAGAAGGAAGGAAAGAAAGAAAAAGAAAGCCAATTCCCCTCCAGCAACCTCTACTCGTACACCAAAAGTCCGAGATGTGGTTTCAAAGAGAAGAGAGGCAGAGATATGGCAGGGCAAAGCACGGCAACCTGGACAAGGGCGGATCAAAGCAGCGAATCTTGTGACGCCGCTCTCGGCACTAATCTCGACACATGCACGCCATTCTCGTGCAGATAAAGATCGACTGAGGAGCATCAGTGACGCAACTGAAGCAGAGGCCAGCTCCAACTCCACCCATGGACTTTTCCCTCTCTTCCTTCCTCTTCTTTTCCCTTTCCGCGCCTCTTTATTTTGATTTCGGTCCAGCCGCTCGATGCGGATCCGCGGAACTCCACATGCCTCGCACTTTGTGCCTGGCCCCCATGAACCCATTTTGCAAGTACAGCGTGGAGCATCTCGAATACGGTATCCCGAGGTTAGCTGTCTGGATCTTCTGCCAACGAGAGGCATTATTCGGAATCCTCCTGTTGCCATCACATGATGGGTTTCAGAATCTCTGATTCCCCCGTTGAGACCAAGTCAAACCAAGACTGCATGGCGAGATTTTCTCAGTCGACGATACAGATACAGTTGATGGCGGGATTCGTCCTCATACTGCCCTGAAACCTGCCGAGTCACAAGCGAGAGTTTTCTTACTCGCAACGTTCTCCTATACGTCTCTCCCCTATATCCCGATATCTCTAAAGCACTATCCTGGAAGCATAATGTCTACGGGTATGGTCATCCAACAAGCTCAAACAGTTGCCACCAGCAAGCACGTGGGCTATCTTTAGCCGTAACATGCATGCCCTTGTACGGAGCTCGGGATGCAACATGCTTGATGCCAGATACTGGGCTGATGCTTCGGAAAATTGCCCAAGGTCACTGCCATTACTCATACCAAGCAGCAGAGAGGTGGTACTGTCAGTGGGGGCCAAGCAAGCAGCTGATGGGTCTCAAAGGGGGAAATCTTATAGGCACTGGCAAGCGCTCCGTACTTGCAACGCCGCGTGAAAGAGCGCAATCCTGACACTCGCCGTAAGCGTGCCGTATCTTATGCAGTCGGCGGCTCACCCGTCATCCCGTTCATCTTCTCCCATGGAAGGCCATTCAGGAGTTGCTCGTCTTTCCAGGCATTGCCAGCGCAGTCCGCCGCCCGTACGCGCACGGTTGTATCGTCGAGCAATGCGAGGCTACTGCTAGTGCGAGAGAGTGCGAGAGCGGGAGAAGAGGAAACGGGTTACGGACCTCTTTTACTCCGTAATGCTAATACTAGGGGCCGTTGTAGAAACTAATCTTTGTTAGTCCGTTGATAGTGATACCATTGTCCGCGGCCCGCGATGTCAAATCAGCCGCTGCAGATACAGTACGGCCGCTGCCAAATCCTTCCCGTCGGACTTTTGGTAGGGCTGCCGCTTCTATTCCTGAATACCACGAGTCGAGTGCTGATACTAAATGTAGCTAATCTCATCTACTACGGTACGGGACGTCTTTGGACGAGTTGTAATACGGGGTAAGGCAAACCCGGAGAAACCCTGAACTCGGTCCCTCAGCAAAGTTGCTGTTGATGAAGCCATTGACAACCGACAAAAGGGTCACTCTGTGCCATCTCTGCCGAGCCTGATTGGCCGCCGTGCAACATCGAAACCCCAGTTCCCGGTTCTCGGCAGATGACACCCCAAATAGCCGTCTGGATATAAGAGTTTTCTGGTTGTGGCGTGTTGCCGCATCCCCATTTTTGTCGTTCGATGAGGCCCCGGGCTAAGTCCCAATCTGCAAAGACCCTGACGCAATGGGCTTGCTCGAGTGACAGGATCCCGGCAGAGCAGCCCGCGTGCTTTCCGCTGGCCGGCCACTTTGTCCCTCGAACTCGGAAGCGGCTGGCAATTCTAGAACACACCTGAAATTGGGGCGAGGCCGGGATTCCCTCCCCTGTCCGGAATCATACGATTCGCTTAAACCCTTCTGTCAACGCGATATTGGTCCCCAAAACGCGGTGACGTTGTGACAGGTTGGAGATTGAAATTTTTTTTCCTTTGGCTTTGTTTTCTCCTCCTCATGATCCAATTTTTTTTTTCAGCCCTTGAGACCGCCAGGATTGGCGTTGTTCAAGCGGCACCGCATGCGGCCCAGCCGGGTCATTACGGGAATTGGACCATCATCCCATGAGTCTATGGCCCCCCCAACAATCAGGGTGCTCTTGTCTCTTGTCTTGTCTTTCATTGATAAACTCCATGAACCGCCCCAGAATCTTTCATCTTCTTCTCCACATGACCTTGATTGCTGCTCTTTTTTCACGTACCACTACTCGATACTTGAACTTTTTCCAAGTTTTGTTTCTCTGTGCTTGTAAAACCCTGATACCCTTCCATAGCCTTGAGTCTCGGTTGCCCAAGTTTGATATATACACACCCTTGTATATACATACCTACAGATATACATACCTATCTATATATATCAACCCGCCAATCAATTTGCTCATTCAGCGGCCAAAACATCTCTCAACACCTTTACCATGGCCTTGACTCCGCAACAAGTCAAGCTGGTCAGGGACACCATTCCGGCTCTGACCGAGCAAGGAGAGGTCATCACAACACTCTTCTACCGGAACATGCTCACGGCTCACCCTGAACTCCATGACTACTTCAACACGGTCAACCAGGCCAACGGCCGTCAACCTCGTGCTCTGACGGCCATCATCCTCAGCTTCGCCAACAACATCAACCACATCACCGAGTTGATCCCCAAGATGGAACGGATGTGCCAGAAGCACTGCTCCCTCGGCATATTGCCCGAGCACTACGACATTGTGGCCAAGTATCTCATTGCCGCGTTTGGAGAGGTCCTCGGACCAGCCATGACTCCCGCGGTCCAGATTGCCTGGAACAAGGCCTACTGGCTGCTTGCAAAGATGCTCATCGGCCGAGAGGCCCAGCTGTACAACGATTGGCAGCATTGGCAGGGCTGGAGGAAGTTTCGCATCGAGCAAAAGGTGGAGGAGTCGGACGACATTTACTCCTTCTACGTCGTCCCCGAAGACGGCAAGCAGCTGCCGAGCTTCATGCCGGGCCAGTATGTCTCGGTGCGCGTTCAGGTGCCGGGCAAGGGATATCTGCAGTCGCGGCAATATTCGCTCTCCGAGAGGCCCAAGCCGGACTATTATCGCTTCACGGTCAAGCGTGACCGAGGGTCGCAGACGACACGAACCCCGAGTTACCTGTCAAACTCGTTTGGCACCAACCCCGGCGTCGTCTCCAACATGCTCATTGACCAGAAGAACGCCGGGGACATTCTAGAGCTGACTCACCCGGCGGGCGAGTTCTTCCTCGACACGTACAACACTTCCAACTCGCCTCTGGTGCTGATCTCTGCCGGCGTTGGCGTCACCCCCATGGTGGCCATTCTCAACTCTGTGATTGAGAAGCAGCCCAACAGGCCGGTGTCGTGGGTGCAAGGGTCGCGAGACTCGATCCCGTTCTACCTGCACGTCCGCAAAATCGCCCGCGACAAGCCTCACGTCAAGACCAACATCTTCAAGACGCGCCTTGCGGAATCGGACCTGGCGGGCGTCACGTATGATCACGACGCGAGGGTTGACCTTGACAAGGTGCACGCGGAAGACTTGTGGCTGAACAATTCATCCACCGAGTACTTTATCTGCGGGCCGGAGCAGTTTATGATGGAGATGGCCAGGCGGCTGAGGGAGTTTGGCGTCAACGGCGATAGGATCAAGCTTGAGCTTTTCAGCACGGGCGATACCGAGTTCCAGGTTGATGCGCTGAGCATTGCGTCTGGACGATCTCAGGCGGCGACGTCTTGCAGCAGCAGCAATTAGATGGATTACGCTGCCTACCAATGCGCATAAGAATATCTGTCTATGTGTATACCACATGCACGAGACTGCAGACACACAAAAGAAACACAAACAGAGACACACACACACACACCACACTTGTACGAAATTAATAGGTCAGTATACGGAAGGACGGGAAAGAGAAGGGAGGGGAGTCAAGGTCATGAAGCATAGAGGTAGAACCGGGCAAAATCGCAGGATTGGAAAGGACATACGACATGTTTGACGAAACTTTTTTTTTTTTTTTTATACAAAAAGAGGCGGGATCAAGAGAAAAAAGGGGGACAACTATTCTTTATTTTGGCATAAGTCAGCAGTGGCTTGCGGACAGATGGCGTTGTCATGTTTTCTTTTTTCTCTTGTTTTTTCTTTTGCTTTATATTCTATCAAAGAGATTGAGAAATGTATCGTATCCAAGATGTCTTGTTGAAAGGGGGTTTATAGCAGTGATGTGATTCATGGCACTCTAAGGTATTCTGAGCAGCTTTAATGATGAATGGATGATAGCTTTCAAGCATCAACAATCAAGTCTGAAGAACGGAGTCGACTCAACGTCTATGCAAGAGAAGTTTCATGCTCTCATGTATCCACATGCATCGTCAAACTCACGGCCGCTTTGCAAACCGGTGACTCCAGAACCCAGGCCACCAGTCCTTGACCTCCTCAACCAACCACCTCGCAATCGCCGCATTCGTGTCCTCACGCTTCTCCGCCGCGACGTGATGCCCCGCGTCGATGATGGTCTCGGTCAGTTTCTCGCACTTTCGCCTCATGTAGACGGTAGCCGTCGAGTTGCGCGCACAGTCGCTGACGCTGTCCCACCTTGCGTGGACGAAGAGCACCGGCATCAAGAGCTTGCCGTCGTGCTTGCTGTGGGCGAGGTTATACGCCTCGTTGGCCCCGTGGTTCATGTAGTAGCCTCCGGCGGAGGCGAAGCCCGTCTCTTCCATGGCGGCCACCAACTCCTGGAAGACGTCGAGCTTCATGATGATTTCCTCGTCCTTGACGGTGGAGGGCGGCGGAGGGCTGTCGATGCCGCCGAACCAGCCGCCTTGCTCGAGGACGTTTGCCCTGGGCGAAGGCATGTCCTCGGGCAGCCATTCCGGCTTCCGGAAGAGATGTCGCAACACGGAGTGCGGGCTCTTGTTCTGAAAGGCAACGGCCTTGTCAAAGGACTGCTCGTAAAACGCCATGTAGCTGAGCTGGCCGTGAGGATACTCGTCCTCGGGATAGACATGGCGATCGACGGCGGCCAACAGCCCGGCCCAGCCGCGCTCCAAGACGCCGTACGGGATGGCGAGCCCTGCGACGGCCCGACAGACCTCGGGCCGGGTATTTGCGATGCTGTACACGGTGGCGCAGCCCCAGTCGTGTCCTACCCAGATGGCCTGGTCTCTGCCTGTGTCGCGGAGCACGGCGAGGACGCCCTCGACGACTTTCTCCTGGGAGTAGTCTGTCGGGACGCTGGTGGTTGTTGATCTGCCGTACCCGGGCATGTCGGGGGCGACAGCTCGAAAGCCGAGGCCGGCGAAGACTTGGAGCTGGGGATGCCAGGTTTTGGCGATGCCGGGCCAGCCGTGGACGAAGATGATGAGAGGGCCTTGCCGAGGGCCGGCGGCGAGGTAGAAGATGGACTTGGCTTCATCGCCGTAGGTGACGGAGTGTTGCTCGTACGGAATGGTTGACATTGTTGTTGTTGTTGGAGGTTGTTATTTCAGCGTGTCTCTTTGGGGGGCCTTTTGCTTTCGACCTGTTTTAAGCCCGTCTCTCTTTTTGGCCTTGTATGTTCGTCCTTTGTGGTTTCAGGGTTGACTCTGCTTGGTTCTGGTTAATGAGTGACTGGTGTGACCTTTATATCAAGCCGGCTCACCTGCATCTTATATGTTCAGTTTGCTAGTTGGTGCCGTTTTCAACTTTGAGTTGTTACACTCGGCATCAGTTTCTGTTTCCGAGGTGTTACCTCATTTGTGTTGCCAAGCTGTGCAAGGAGGGTAGTATTCCATGGTAAATAGACGATCTGCAAGAGTTGGAGTTGATGGCAGTCGACGAGTCGATTACGGTTGCGCCGAGAGCACAAGGCGATGATTAATCACAAAATGCGATTTTGAATCACCCAGACCGGTAAATCTTGAAGCCATACTTTCAATTGCAGCTTGAGTCATGAGAGAAGCCGTTCAGATGAAGCAATGGAGGCGTTGTGTTTAAACAGTTTGAGTTGGTAGCCAACCTGAAGTTGTCGCCATTTTGACGTCCCTGTGTGATGGCAACACAACAACTACCCGATTGTCCAATCATCCGCCGTCCGCCATTGACAGCTTCCGATCCCAAGCTCAATTCAACTCTTCTGGAATACTAGTGATCGAATCGCGCTTCCGGGTATGTACGATACAGTACATGTAGCTAAGCACCGCGGCCGCGGCATCTCGCCAGCGTTACGCGGGATCGTCGCCCGGTGCAGATCCAAACGAGCCCGAATGCAGGACAACTGGGAAAAGAAACGGACTGTGCCGCTTCAAGGCTCGCTAACGAAACGAAAGAGAGCTCGGCTGGGTGACAAGGAAGCATAAATCAAGCCAGACCGTAATCAACTGGGCCGCCTTCGGGGGCCTTCGGGGGAACAGCTCTAGCTCGTCGTTAGCATTGCTTCAGAGCCCTGTCAGCGACGCCAAAAGGGACCAGGCCAGGCCATCGGCTCAAGGTGTTGCTGTCCGTGTCATTGTGTATCCACCGCGAAGAGTCTCATGTCATGGGGCGGTTCGTGACGCCTCGCAAGCGCCGTGTGTGTCAGCACCTTGCCGGCGAATCTTGAGCGTTCTCGAAGCGTTGGCCTGTGTGTGTACGGAGTATGGCGCGTAGGTTCACGGTTTGTGGCATATCAGTGACATGATGGATTCTGCGCACGTTTTTTTTCTTTTGATAGGGGGCGTTCCCGAGATAAGGGCCATTTAGTTTGGGAGGGCGTCGAAGCTAGAGGGAATTGGCGAAGAAGAATCGATGGAGAAGAGACTGGAATAATGGCTCGCTAATTTTGCTTGGCTGGTTGGTAGTTTAGTGGCGTTGATGGCTTGGGATGCCGCAAGATCAAGATCTGACCATCCTCGTCCCCTTTTGTTTGATTTCCAGTAATTATTTTGCTTCTCTCAGCTTCTTCTTCTTCTTCTCTCTCCATCTCGCTCATCTCTCTCTTTAAACTGTGTCTAGCCATGTGTTTCTAGCCAGCAGATTCACGGAGCTCTGGCTCGTTCCCCCGGTCTTCTCTTTTCTCTCCCCTCTCCCCCTTTTCCCTGCTCCCTCTCCTAAAGAAAAACAGGCCAGTCTCTGTCTAGACCATCATGCTTCTCCCCTGGCGATTTGGCTCTCAATCAAGGCAAACGGACAAGTCAACGCCAACGGCGTATTACCCCGCGTCTTCCCGTGCTCTTGTGGCTCCTCTGTTACCGGGTTTGATTTGCTCATCTAGAAAGCTTCCATATCCATATCCATGCCTGGCCTGAGGATTGGCTGCTTGGGTCTTGTGCTTTTTTTTTTTCTCTCTCCCTCCAGCAATCGAAGAACCCCGGTAACTAGGCCGATTTTCCTCAATTCGAGCCCCGGCAACGTTTCTTCTTCTTCTTCTTTCGGATATCGCCGTGTTCATTTTCACGGCAGTTCTTCTTTCTCTTCCTTTTTTTTTAATCTCGACATTTTGCATTACGAGCGATATTGGCATTTGTTTTATTTTTTATGAATTACTCTTTTTGCTCGGCCATGTCTCTGTGATTTATTCTTTTTTTTTATTAATTCACGACTTCATTCTTATACTCTTTTTTTACTTGTTACATACAGCTTTCTCGGGGAAACCGGCTTGCATGGAGAGTCGGTAAAAACAGGGTGTCTTTTCGCATCACTTTCCTGAATGGCGCGCCGAGTCCGGAAGACGCCGTGGAGCCGCACGGGATGCAGTACGTGCAAGCGGAGGAGAAAGAAGTGTGAGTCTCTCCATTTGCCATTTCTATTTCGAGCGGGCGTTTGCGGGCATGTGTTGGGGGCTGTTTTGCATGGCCTCGTGTGTGCGTGAGACACGGCAGAGGACGAGACACCAAAGGAACCAATCGAGAGACTGTGACTGACGCTGAGAACTCGCAGGTGATGGCCAAAAGCCGAGGTAGGTTTGAAGCAGCTTCTTTTTCTTCCCTTTGTTTCGTTCTTTTCATTTTGCAGCACTTTACGCGAATGATACTATCGACTACATGTAGCCAAAGCTCGACTGGCTGGCTTACCTGGACCGACGACTTGCTACCTTTTTTTTTCTTTGATTGATTTCCCTTTGCTGGGGGATTTCGTTTCCATTGACTGACTTGTGCTTGACCATGGCAGGTGTCAGACATGCCTGCGGCTGGGCCTCGAATGCGTCCAGTTCGACATCTTCTGTCCCATCAACGTGGTTACACCGACACGCGAATCCCGGCCCAGAGCGGTGACGGACGCCGACCCGGAGGCTGATCCGGACGAATCGAATCACTCGAGCCCGGCATCGACATCGTCGGGATCGTCCGGCGGCACGGCAGACGACGCAGAATCCAGCGGCGAGGCGGCGGATTGGCACAGCAGCTCGGGCTCCTCGGCGCTGGTGCCGTCGACGGCTCGGAGGCTCTCGCAGTCGTCATCACGGTCGTCGCGGTCGTCGCGGTCGTCACAGTCGCAGTACGAGTCGCAGTTTCAGCTACAATCATCACCGCATCAAAATCAAAATCAAAACCAACATCAACATCAACATCAACATCACCAGAACCAGAACCAGAACCAGAACCAGGTGAGCCTGCGGGCTCGCGGCGGTGGCTCGCGGGACGGGCCGCCGATGCCGTCGCTGTCGGCCTTTTCCTACCTGTCTACGAGCGAATACTTCTTCTTGCAATACTACCTGGAGCGGCTGAGCAACGTGCTGGTCAACGCAAACAGCTCCGTCAACCCGCTCAAGCAGCTGATCCTGCCGCGCATCGCCTCGTCCAACCTGCTGCTCGACGCAATCTGCGCCACCGCGGCCGTCCACCGGTCGAGTGCAAACGACGTCGACCGGTCGGAATACTCAACCATGGCGACGCGGTACTACGTCCGCGTGCTGTCGGCGGTGCGGGACCTGATTCCGCGAGTGACAAACAACAGTTCCTCTGGCTCTGGCTCTGGCTCTGGCTCTGGCTCTAGTAGGAGAAGAGAGCAGCTGATAACGGACGGCAGAGAGTCGAGCCCCGTCGAGGGCGAAGGCAGCAGTGACTACGGTAACGGCAACAGAAACAACAAGAACAAGAACAAGAACAAGAGAAAGGTCATCATCGAGGACAAGGACACGGCCGAAATGGCCATTCTGGCGTCCATCTTCCTGTGCAAATACGAAATCATCAAGGACGGCGTGGAAAACTGGCGCTTCCACCTGCGAGGCATCGAGTCTCTGTGCCAGTCGCTGGACCCGGAGCAGACGGCGTCCATGTCGAATACGCTGGCCTACGTCCGTAGCTTGTGAGTGCAGATTCCTTTTCTTCCTCCTCTTCTTCCTCTTCTTCCTCTTCCTCTTCATCAGCGCCATCTTCTGATTTTCTTGCTTCTTTCTGATCATGAGCTAATCGGCCTTCCCCAACAAAACAGCATGTCGTATCATAAGAATATTGCTCGCGTCACCGAATACGCGCCGCACGCTAGAGACGAGGAATTCGAGCATGAGCCATTCGAGATTGGCACGCTGTTCCCAGTTGACCCGTACATGGGCTTCTCGCAGAGCCTCATTATTCTCCTCGGCCGGGCCAACGACCTCCTCGTGATCAACATACGAGATGAACCGCATAAAGTCAAAGAAGAAGTGGAGGCCATGTACGTGAAACAAGTTCAAAATCCAGACGAGATACCAAACTGGTCAACTGACTGACTGACTCATTGTGTCGAATAGATTAAGCCTGCTGGCTAGGAGAAGCTGGAGCGCGGATCGGTTCGCCATTCCCGAAGGCATGGGTCCCTTGACGATTGAAAACTCGTCGCACATTGCCGAGGCGTATCGATGTGCCGTCATTGCTTGCATCCACGCCGCGCTCGAGATTCTGGCGGAGAGAGAGAGAGAGGGTGCCGTATATTCTCCACTGGTGCCGATGGAGGAGCTGTCGTTGCATTCACAGTTGCAGCCGCAGTCAACAATCCCCCTTCACATCCCCACCCCCATAGACTGGGCATCCCTGCACGCCCTTTTGCCCGTAGAAAAGGCCGAGGCCCTGACGGACTGTCTGGCGGCGGTGGCGCGGGTTCCGCTTGGATGTCCGGAAGAGGCCGGTCTGCTGCCGCTGCTGTTTATCATCGCGTGCGAGACCCAAGTACAGGACCAGGCCAAGGAGGCGCTGGTGCGGGTGGAAGCGCTGGGGAGCCACATTGGGCTGGGAAACGTGCGGTGTGCGCAAATGTTGCTGAAGCAGGTGTGGGCGAGGAAGTCGGTGCAGCGAGACTTTCACGACTGGCGGGGGTTGCTGGCCAAGGTCAAGTGGGATCTCATTATTACTTGAGGTGTGATGATGGAGAGACTGACGTTGTTGAGAGGTGATGGCTGTTGAGAGACCAGCGTTGTTGAAAGATGGTGACTGTTGAGAGATGTCGTTGTGGACAGGCTAACGTCGTTGAGATGGTGATTGTGGACAGATGATGATTGTTGACAGATGGTGATTGTTGACAGATGGTGATTGTTGACAGATGGTGATTGTTGACAGATGGTGATTGTTGACAGATGGTGACCATTGACGAATGTGAGAGTCTATCAACAATGAAGAATGCATCATCAACTGAGAGACCGTCAACTGAGAGACCGTCAACTGAGAGAGACCATGCCTTGTGAGGCCATCAGTGACGCCATCAATCAAGTCAGCATCGACTGGAAGACGATCCCTTGCGAGACCACCGACTGAGAAGCCATCATCAACTGAGCCATCATCAATTGAGATCGTCAATTGAGAGACCGTCACCCAATAAAGAGCGAGAGAGAGAGAGAGAGAGATGGCGTATTTCCGACCTAAAATGATGTATTTCTCCCTCCTTCTTGTCCCCCCCTTCTTTTGTCTTCTTTTTGATTCGTTTCTTTCTTTTCTTTTTGTTGTATGTCTTGTTTAGCCCGGATTTCGTTGTCGATTCGATCTTTGTCGCGCCGCGGAATTGTGTCATTTGGACTTGGTATGGGAAACACGACGGAAACAAACGGCGTCCTTAGCTATATAGTAGCATAACCAAAACTAGTAATTTTGTGAGAGAAAAAAAAAAAGTCCCCCATCAAAACTCGGAGAAAAATACAAAAGAAATGGGGAAAAAACGGAACAGACGTTGGCCTCTATTTAAATGTTGATCCAACCTAGCAAGCAAGCCCGTCAACGACCTGCTAGTCATGCGGTGACAAAATAATCGGGCTTTTGATCCACGCGGTTGGTCCGGGGGGAGGGGAGAGCTGATGGCTTTTTTTTTGTTTTGGCTTCCGAAGACATAATACGTGCAGAATAGGGTTGCTTGTCCAGTCTTGTTTTTTTGCTCTTTTTTTTTTCTGACTGTGCTAGACAAAAAGACAAGCAAACAAGACAAGGAGGACGGAGAGAATCTCCACAGCGGGTTGATTTTCCTTTTAGTGCGCGTATCTTTGGCCCAAAGAGGAATCGGGAAGAGGCGGCCGGCCTCCGCATCTCATGGCGGTTGGTTCGATGGGATAGATCGGATGTTGGTTCCCTGTCAATAGTATGGGTGGATGGACCAAGGACCGTAGAGGCGAGGCTTTTGGGGTAAATTCAAACAAGGGCCTAAAAGTGATGGTCGTTTGACGGGGACGGAGGATAGAGGGGGAGGGGAAAGCTCCGATTCGGAAGTTGAAGCGTAAGTTGCACGCTGGCGTGAGGTTCTAGTGGTGTTTAAACGGAGAGGGCGTGATAAGGGGATTGGACTGGACTGGACTGGACTGGACTGAGGATTACTATATACTACTCCGTACTACCTGTACATATACCTGGAGACGTGGGCGGTTGGGCACGTATGGATCATGTAACTCGTACTGCTCGTATCGTCATCTGTGGGTATTTATGTACATAGAGTTCTGATACTACAGTGACGGGAACGAATAATGTAATGCTGGGCATGGTTTAGTATAAGAGGAGGCCCTTGACGCCTCCCCCCCTGGACAGAGCTGTCAACTTGTCGACTTGACTGGTCAACTGTGGGATCTCGGCTGGAGAAGTTGACAAGAACAACAAAAAAGGCTGAAAGAGCAAAAGATTCTTACTTGCCGGGCTTTTGCTAACAGTAACACGACTCGGGTACTGGATGCTGCTGGTGGTGGTGGCACAGTACAACGATCCCGATACCTGCTTGATCTGAATCTGACTGTTTCCGGATACTATTCTGGATACCGGCACTATTCCCGTGTGCAACGACAAAGCAAAACGACACGCACGACCATAAGCACAACTACGTCAATCGGCAGTTGTCGTTGATACTGGCAGCTCGGTGAACTCCCGGTCGTTGTACTGCCGAGTAGGCTATTGCATACATGTACTGTTGATACCATTGGTACTATACACTCGGCATCTGTATCTCGTTGATTAGGGATCATTGCATAGGCATCACCACTTATACAAGCCGGAGAAGATGCATCATCATCATCCCTTTGATCCCATCCGCCCCGAGGAAATCTCCCTCACCACCTCCATCCTCAAGGCCGCCCTCCCCGGCGTCTCCCTCCGCTTCAAGGTCATCGATGTCCAGGAGCCCATCAAGCAGCATGTCATCCCCTACATCGAGGCCGAGCGGACGGGCCAGCCTCTCCCCAAGCCGCCGCCTCGCCTCGTCTACAGCTACCTGCACCGCCTCGACACATTCGCCTTCCTCAAGGCCGTCGTCAACCTCGACAACGAGGCCGTCGTCGAACTCGAGGAGCTGCCCAGGCACGTCCAGGGCCCCGTCGACGTGGACGAGATGATTGGGCTCGAGACGGTCATCCTCAAGCACCCGCGGGTCGTTGCCGAGATCGACAAGCTGCAGCTGCCCGAGGGCGTCACCGTCTGCACCGACCCGTGGATCTACGGCACCGACGACGAGGCTGAGACGAGAAGGCTGGTGCAGTTCTACATGTTCATCGTGCCCGTTGCCCATCCGCAGTCGAACCACTACTCGCTGCCGTGCGCGTTTTCGCCGGTGATTGATGCCAACTCCATGGAGCTCGTCCGCATCGACTATCTGCCCACGGGGGGCGATCACTCGTCCGTCGAGACGCAGCCGTGGAAGCCCGTCAAGGCCGTCGAATACGCCCACGAGCTGCTGGACACACCGCCCCGAACAGACCTGAAGCCGCTGATTGTGCAGCAGCCCGAGGGCCCGTCCTTTTCGCTCGACGGCCACCTGGTCAAGTGGCAGAAGTGGCGGTTCCGCGTCGGCTTCAACTACCGCGAGGGCCTCGTGCTGTACAACCTCACCTACGACGGCCGCAACGTCTTTTACCGCCTGGCGCTGTCCGAGATGACGGTGCCGTACGGCGATCCCCGGAGGCCGTTTCATCGCAAGCAGGCGTTTGACGTGGGCGACGTCGGACTGGGCATCACCTGCAACCAGCTCAGCCTCGGGTGCGACTGTCTGGGCCACATCAAGTACTTTGACGGCTTCAGGATCGACTCGCAGGGACGGCCGGTGCATCTGCGCAACGTCGTTTGCCTGCACGAGCAGGACGCGGGGATCCTGCACAAGCACACAAACTACCGCAACGGCCAGGCGACGGTGGTGCGCAACCGGCAGCTGGTGGTGCAGATGATTTGCACCGTCTCCAACTACGAGTACATCTTTGCCTGGATCCTGGACCAGGCCGGCGGCGTCGAGTTCGAGGTCCGCGCCACGGGCATCCTGTCGACGATCCCCATCGACGACGCCCAGGGCCTCGAGCTGCCCTTCTCGACCCCCGTTGGCCCCGGCGTGTCGGCGCCGTATCACCAGCACATCTTCAACCTGCGCGTCGACCCGGCCGTCGACGGCTTCAGCAACACCGTCGTCTACGAGGACAGCGTGCCGCTCGACCCGCAGGAGCACGGCATCGACGACCCCTACGGCGTGGGCTACGTGGCCAGGACGACGGTGCTGGACAGGGCGGGCTTTGCCGACACAGACGTCGAGCTGGGCCGCGTCTTCAAGATCCGCAACGACGCCGTCATCAACGCCGTCAGCCGCAGGCCCGTGGCCTACAAGGTGCAGACCGTCGCCAGCCAGCGCATGCTCATGTCGGCGCGCTCCTTCAACGCCCGCCGCGCGCGCTTCCACGAGCACGCCGTCTGGGTGACGCGCCACCGCGACGGCGAGCTGTTCGCCGCGGGCGAGTTCACCAACCAGAGCCGCCTGAGCACGGGCGTCGACACGTACGCGGCGAGGGGCGACGACGTCGTCAACCAGGACGTGGTGTTTTGGCACACCTTTGCCCTGACGCACAACCCGCGGCCCGAGGACTTTCCCGTCATGCCCGTCGAGAGGCTGAGCGTGCACTTCAAGCCCGCCGGGTTCCACGACAAGAATCCCGCGCTGGACGTGCCGAGCTCGCAGCAGGCGGAGAACAAGTCGACGCTGGTCGAGGCGACGGGGGCGGCGGCGGCGTGTTGCGAGACGGCGAGCAAGTCGTGAGGGAGTCGGGGGGATCTACCTAGGTTGCGCGCAAGGGATGGGAGCATCGAGGGTATGCTGACATGGTACGGGGGTTTGGCTGCTGTGATGCTGAGACAGCCGTTGTTGTTCTTGTCGTTGATATTACCATCGATCTATGGCCATGTTGTGTGCACTCTGGATGGAAGAGACGGAATACGTTGACGACGACGACGACGACGACGACGACGATGATGATGAATCTGATGAGATATTTACGAGCAAGCTGGGAGGGGACATGTGCGGATTTGTATTGTTTTTTTTTACATCTCGTTGCTAGCTTTTGATATAAAAGCCTTTCTTTGTGATGAAATCTTTCAACAGGAGTCATCATCCATGTAACATAGGTATCTATAGCATCTTTTTTCTTGCTGCTCAAGCAAAATGAAACAACATTCCCTTGTGGACTCCATTCCACAACATTCGTTTCCAACATCAACATTCACAACATCTCCTTCTCTCCTCCTTCACTTGCTCAGCAGCGCCTTTTCAATCAGCCGCGCCGCCTGCAGCACCATCCGCTCGTGATACCGCTTGCCCACCACCTGGATCCCAATCGGCAGGCCCTCGGCGTCGTCGGCAGAGTAAATCTCCCAGTAGTGCTTCTCCAGATCGTTCTTGGGCTTGTACTCCTCCCGGAGCTCGGCGGCGGTCGCGTCGCCCACCAGCTTGCCCGCCGGCATCGCCACGGCCGGATACTGCAGCAGGTTCCAGATGGCCGTGTAGCCCCAGTATCTCGTCGCCCCGTGGGGGCCGGCCACGCTCGGGTAGACGGGCGCCAGCACCACGTCCACGTCGAACTGGTTCCAGTGGTCGCTGTACTCGGCGCGGAACCCGTCGCGAGCTTCCTTGAGGCCCTCGGGAGACGAGGCCACCGAGGCGCGGCCCTTTTGGCACTCGTTGATGATCCACTCTGTCAGGGGCAGCACGGCCTCGCCGCCCTTTGCGCAGAGCGCGCGGATGTTGGCGCCGCCGTCCTCAAAGTAGTTTGCGGCAATGATGCTCCAGCCCCGGGCGTGGTCCATGGGCGAAAACGACACCGTCTGCACGTCGATGGCGCGGCCCAGCTTGTCGGCGATCTTGCGCATGGCGGCCTTGACGGGCGGCAGCGGCGACACGACGCCGTCGTCAGACAGGATGCCGACCTTGAGCGGGCGCGTCTCATCCAGCTGGCGGCCCATGGCCGACGACAGGATGCTGCCGGGGATGAGCGAGACGTCGTCGATCCAGGGGAGAGTCGACGAGTAGGCCTTGCAGAAGAGCTCGAGGTCGCGGAGGGAGCGCGCAAAGGGGCCCAGCGTGCCGGCGATGGAGTCGTGGCCGGGCGTGGGGACGACGACGCCCTTGCCGCTGAACCGACCGGGCGTGGGCTTGAAGCCGTAGAGCTACATGTTGTAGAATGATCAATGTCAGCTTCACTGAGGGTAGGGTAACAGCCATGCAGTACAGATTCTCATCTCTCCCCTTTCCTTACCCCGTTGAAAGCAGCTGGAACTCGGATGGAACCTCCAATGTCGCCTCCAATGCCCAGCACCGACGCGTGCATGCCCATGAGCGCCGCCTCGCCGCCCGTGCTGCCTCCCGCCGTCAGCTGGCGGTTCCGCGGGTTGACCGTGGTGCCGTAGATGTTGTTGGAGGTCTCGAGGTGCATGCCGGCCTGGGGCTGGTTGGTGCGGGCAAAGACGACGGCGCCCAGCTTGCGGAACGTCTTGACGATGGCGGCGTCGTCGTGGCTGGTGCTGTTGATCCAGGTGACGAAGCCGGCGTTTGTCAGGTGGGAGGCGACGCCGATCTGGTTCTTGAGGGAGAGGGGGATGCCGTGGAGGGGGCCGATGAGGCGGCCGGTGAGGGCGAGGTGCTGGTCGCAGGCCTCGGCGTCGTAGATGGCTTCGGCGAGGAGCTCGGTGAGGCAGTTGGTCTGCGATGATGATTTAGCATGATGGCCTGGAGATGGATAGAGAGAGTAGAGAAGTGGTGAGGAGAGTCATGGTCGAGTTGAAGGAAGATGAGAAGATGGAGAGAGGGGTTTGGAGGGGTCAAGGTGGTTGTTGATTGATGGAGGGGAAATGCGTCGACATGGACAAGCAGAGTCCAACAGAGGGTGATGAGGATGGTGGTGATGAAGCAGATGTTGGATAGAGACAAGAGACACCAAAAACTCACACACTGCTGCGCAATCGTCGCCCTCTTGCGAAACGCCGCCAGCAGCTCCACGGCCGTCACCTTCCTGGCCGCCAGCATCTCCAGCAGCGCCGTGGCATCGTAGTCTTCGGTCAGCGTCAGCTCGGCGTCGGACAGCAGGCCGCTGGACCGGGGCACCGAGGTGACGTCCTGGGGGAGGGCGGTGATTTGCGACAGCGAGAAGAGCACGCTCTTGTCGAGGGAGGCGTCGCGCAGGGAGATGGCGGTGCGGATGTGGTCCTGCGATTCGGACATGTTTGGTGTTTGCGGTTGGTGATGATGGTCTGAGTTTTGGTGTTTTGTTTTGTTTTGTTTTGTTTTGTTTTGTTTTGTTTTGTTTTGTTTGTTATGAGGGAAGCATTTGGTGGGCAGAGGGAGAGAGAGAGGCACCGAGAAAATCACAAGGTGAGTGATTGATTGATTGATTGATGCAAGGCTATCTGAGTTGCAATTCAGATACGATAGAGAGATAGCTAGAGAGCTTCAACCAGGAACGAACCCCCTCAGTTGTGTTTTCTTTCCCTCCCAAAAACGGCATCTAGCTACCCCATGGCTGCCCAACACACATCCTTACAAGAAAACCATCCAAGAATTAGAAGAGAATTAAAGAATTAAATAAAAGGAAAAAAAAAAGAATAAATCCAACATCCAACGCAAGCAAAAATGCCCACAGAAAAAACACTCAACCCCTCTTAGCGTATATATTGCCCCCTTTGGCATAGCACTTCAATGCCGGGACGCAAAGCCGGAAAAGAAGTGAACGCTTGGCAGAAAACGAACAGACTTTTCATACCTAGTCAACAAGCTGCCAACTGCAACTCTAGAACAAAAGTGAAACGAAACGGACGGGGAAAACGGAAACTTGTTTTCGATGGGCCTTCTAACTCGTTCCCGCGCGGGGTTTCCCGGACGGAAGATGGAGTCTAGACTAGCCCGGGGTCTCTTTTCTTACCTTTTGTCTTTATTTTGGGGAGTTTTAATCTGGGTTTAATGTTCCTAGGTTCCGCGACTAGCCAACGGGTTAATGTGAATGGGATAGTACTTGTATGGGGCCCGGGATTTGTTGCAGACTTCCGGGGGGGCTTGGGCCAAGGGTTGGTTGCAGCATTGCGACCTTGTGTTGGTTGTGAAGAAGAAGTTGCAAAACGGCATGATCTGGACGGATGGGTGTTGAGGGTTATCCGCTAGTCCGGGTGCGACGGCTGCGAGTCTTCACAGGACAGATAGTGGTTAGTAGTCAATATGTGTGTCAATGTAATGTCATCTTGTGACTCATATTCATATTCAAAAAGTGTTGCAATGTATATGCTATTGGCATCGAGCTCATACCCATGAGCATGCCCCAAGATATCCCAATATTTCCCATTCCCATGATATGCCGTGACAGACATGCAACCATTAGTATGTGTATATATGTGTGTAATCGTTAAAACAGATCCCCTGAAAAATTAAAAAAGGTAGCTCCAGACCCCAGGCTTCATCGTACGTTCGTTAAAAAGAGGAAAAAGAGGAATCGCAGCAGCAGCAGTGGAAAAAACAAGTCGCTCTACTCCTTCTGTGAGCCCACCGACTCGCTCTGGTCAACAGCCTTGTCGTGAATTTGCTCGTGCTCGTGCTCGTGCTCGTGCTCCTCGGCGACGTCTTCAAACGCCTCGGGAATCACCACGCCCTCCTCTTGTCCATACTTTGTATCGGTCGTGTAAAGGTAAATGGCCACCATGGTGAGGCACAGGCCTACAATCATCATGGCAAAGTAGGCTCCCGCCTCCCTGACAAACTGCACGCTGTGAGAGTCGATTCCAAAGGCCGTTGCCGTGCCAAACGCCTGGAAGCCCTTGAAATAACCGCTGTAGCGTCCCAGGACGTGCGGCTCGTTGGAAAAGGTGCTGTATGTCCAGTGGTGGAAGTTTTGGAAGATGGGGTAGCAGGCGCCAAACAGGATGTAGATGACAAAGGGGCCGGCAAACTTGCTCGTCTCGGTCCAGTCAATCGCACGCGGCGTCTCTGTTCGGTCAATGTCGTTGACAGACAGGAACGACACCATGGCGATCCAGGTTCCTCCAATGACAAAGGCCACGAATGCTCCGGCAGCAAAAGCTCGGCGTCGACGTGATCCAAAGACTTTGGCATCGCAGATCCAGGCAATGGCGAGGGCTCCCAGGACTTGGAAGATCCAGTAGCAGAACTAGAAATCACACTTCGTTAGGACGTTCAACAACATGGTTGGATAGACGAGGGCACAGGTACTCACATTGGCCAGGGATCGTGTTCTGGCATTGAAATACCACGCGTTGAAAGCTCCCGTCAAGGACAGGTACATCTCGCTGCTGTAGATGGACAGGGTGATGAGTGCCATCTTGGGCTCCAGCATGGTCAGGCCGAGGGCCTTGAGCTCCTGGTACCACGGAAGAGGGGTGAAGGAGGCGATTGGGCGGCCGTCATTGCGTCGAAGCTTGGAGGGATCCAGCAGCAGACCGGCAATCAAGAGGCCAGCGCATTCGAGGCAGATGAAGATGATGTAGACGGACGAAGGCACCCCAGAGACGGAAGTGTTGTTGATGGTGACACCCAGGACGATGGCTGTGGGTTTATCGCATCTTGTTAGTTACAGATGGTCATAGAGAGCCGGGGAGTGTTCATGTTCAAACGTACCTGCTCCAACAACTGAACCCATGGCGTTGAGAACCCATGATGTGGCAATGTATTTTCCCTTTTCCGCCTCGGTTGGGTAGCAAGTGGTGATGTAGCCTAGAAGATTCAATTCCTGTGAGTACGGCCCCTTTGCTTCAACGTCGATGATGGGCGCGAGACATACCTTGAGTCGACCAGAGAAGACCCGCGGACAGACCCAGCCAAGCACCGCCAAAGATGACAAACCAGCTTCCTTCGCCCTTGTCAATCCACCTGTTGAGCGCGCAACGATTAGCCTCTGGTTCTTCATCTTGTTGGGACGGAAGGGGGAATTTGTCTGCCAACGTACCATAGAGATCCGGCATACATCGGGTAGCCCGTGGCACCAATCATCAGCGCCCATCGCGGTCCAATCTTGTTGATGATGCTGCCGCCCAGAATACCAGATGCTCCAAACAGGCAGTAGAGAACGACGTTTGCCTTGTTGACGATTCCAATGAGCTGCGGCTGCTTGCCTCCCGCGCCCAGGCCGGTGATGGCGAGATACGTGCCCGGGTTACAGAAGAGCACGAAGCCGACAATGATGGTTTGAACGAATGGCCTGCGAGTTTTGGCACGAGTCAGTCAGCAATTGGCGAAATACGCGTAAGCCAGGAGATGAGGGCTGGAACGCACGAGTTGTATCGCCATGTCGACAGGCGCTGGTGTTGCGGCTGCGCCTCTACGACGGCAACCTCGTCCTTTGCTTCGGCGGCCATGGTGGAGAGATGAAAGCGAAAGGGGGGAGACAATCCTTTCCTGCTTCTTCAAGTAATTGATGAAGCAACGGAGAGGAGGAGAGAAAGACGATGATGAGAGGGGACACTAGCAGCTTAGATCGAGCGGGCCGCCTTTGTTATAAATGCTGGTCTCTGTAGCATCGTATCGCATCGGTTCAGAGCCTCCCCACGACGCGACTTTGAGGACTCACAAACGTTGAAATCCAGAAAAATCGATAAAAGAAATCGACCGCTTCGTACTAGCCCTCGCCAATCGAACCCTGGCCGTGGCCAAAGAAAAAAAGAAGCCTGAGCACCAACGACCCCCCCCGGTCCCAGGTTTAACTCTTCTTGGGGGCCAAGCGTATCTTTATCCCTGAAAGGGGTCGAAGACGAGCGAGCGAACGAGGCGTTTGTGACTGCCGACTGCGACGGGAGAGGGAAAAAGTGACGAGCGGAACGGGCTCCATGGTGGGGAAATGCCGATTCGCTTGAGCAGACATGGGGATGGAGTGAACTAGGATCGTGTCACTGCAGATGTTTTGTTTGGATTTAGTCTAGAGAAGAGGAGAGAATCGAGTGTGTGTGGAGGATTCACTTGGCCAAAAACTAGAGGTTGACAAGTTGACCTGTAATCTGATCTTGGTAGCGAGTACTTCTAGCGAGCGATGGCCGCTGTAGGTACCTGTACCTGCGCTGCAACAACCGAACAATAGCGGCCAGGTCAAGGCTACCGACGCCACCGAGTGGTGCTGCCCACCGCTGCATGTACCGGTGACTGGGGATGGATGGATGCTTCATGCATGTTGGTTGATTGATTCAGTCAAGATGGAGGGCTTCAACTTTTTTTTTGCGTTAAAATATTACTGAATCGACTAGTAACTACAAGGACTAGAACTAGAACTCCATAGAACTAGGACTTTGATTCAAGCCATGCCGCCGCCTTGCCACGATTGCATGTGGCCGGCCCAAACGGGAAGACAAGCGAGCAAGCCTCAAGCGGAATAGCCTCAACTCTGTGGCCATCTTCCAATTGTCAACGAAACTCGCACACCGGTTGTTATTCTACTCGTACATGTAACCAGGGACTCACGGATCACTCCCGTATGCCTGCATTGCATTGCGTTGAACCTGGTAGCATTGGATGTCTCCATTACTTGTACTACCTTCTATCTGGTAGTAGTAGTAGTATCGTTGAACCCTTGCACTCTGCAGAACGTGCTCGTACAACACAGAACGCTTCTTTCTCGAGCCCCTTGCAGACAGACATGGCAAGCCCTTGCAACTTGCAAGCAGCATCGACTGGCCCTGCAGAAAAGCACCACTCATCACCTCAGCCAAGGAGTCAGGCGAGCAGCTGAGCCGAGCTGAGCTGAGAGTTGGAGTTGAAGCGAGCTCGCCGTCACTTGTCACATTTCCTACAACCACAACCACAACCACAACCACAACCACATCCCGTCGAATCAATGCTTCTCAACTCTCCTCTACTCCATACCATGAATCATCCATGCCCGTTATTCCTCTACGATACATACCGCCACATCCTTCTCGCTAACCCTCATGCAGTATCGTATGCACAATTGCCCTTCCCCGGTATCCAATAATTTCTCACGCTTCAGCCCGCTCCAAACCGCTCCCATGACCGTCCTGATATGATATCACATATAACACAAGAAAAAGAAAAAGGCAAAAAAACACCCCAGGCGCCTCGCTAATCTAAAACCGTCAATCAAACATGATAAAATCGCTTGCAAACATCACTCCTTCTCCCCATCCCGCAGAATATCTCTCATCCTGGAATAGAGCCCTTCGTCAACTTGTTTCCACCTCAGCCCCCCCGGAAACACCACTTCCCGCAGCCTGTCCATCATTGGAATCAGCGGCTCGTAAAACGCTGTAAAGCATTCCCCAGCGCGCTTGCGGAAGATGAACGAGTCCGTGATGACGCCTAGCTTCGACCCTGCCAGCTCGTAGTCCTTTGCGTAGTTCCAGTGGTCAAAAAGATTCTTCTTGACACTCCTGTCCGGGCCGTCGTGGTTAACGCAAACCCAGAAGAGGACCCAGAAGAAGGACTCGAGGTCATGCATAAAACAGTGTGGTTCGCCAAACAGCAACCCGATCGCCATAAAGGCCCTTGTTCCCGTCTTTCCCTTTGCTCCTGACGCCTTCTTCCTTGACTCTCTTATAGCAAGGTCGAGATCTATCAGGAATCCCTTCTGGGCACCTTCTCTTTCGTCGATTAGAACGTTGTTAACGGATATGTCTCGATGGAGGAACCCGGCCTTTCTCAGAGACTCGTGGCCTTGGATGCAGCTCTCCACAGCGGCCACAAGGGCTGCTGGCGAGCTGGCCTTGTAGATTGGCCGTCCGTAGTCTTGAACAATGATCCTTCGATGTATCCGGTTCGGTGGGGTCTTGTCGACACCACCAGATTGTGATTCTGACCGCGATCGCTTGACTGGACGTTCCTCTGCCTCGTTGACCTGGCTGGATCGTCTTTTTGTGCCGGCACCGCCGGTACTATCGGTAGTAGCGATACTATCGATGCTGCCGCTACTCCCGTTACTACCGCTACCGTGGTTCTTTTTGCCGCTTCTGCTCTCGCTTTGGCGGAGCTGCTGCACTCTCGGTGTCTTCTTCCCCCGTTGAGCGGTTGAGCGTCTTCGTCGAGGAGCCGCCACTGCTATTGTGGAAGCCGTAGAGATGGATGACGCAGATGCCCTTCGCGCCATCGTCATCGTAGTAGCAGTAGCCGCTGTATCATCTACAGTCAAGGCATCAGGCGTATCCGTTGCGTTGACTGCAGCTGCCGCGTCAACGGTTGTAGATGTAGATGCTACATGTGCCTTTTCCACCACGGCCGTTATAGCCGTTGAATCAGCTGTTGCTGTGGCTGTGGCATCGCCTGCAGTCGTCGCATCGGCCATCACTGTCGTAGCCGTCGAGTCGGGCGTGGTCATCGCATCAGCGGTCGCTGTAGGAGCATCTGCAGTGGTAATATCCAGTCCAGTACGAACGCCGTTTCGAACATCGTCGTCGACGTCACGAATGCGAACCGTCTCGTGATGATAATACCGAGCGACGTTGGTCACGCCTCGTTGCGTCACCTCTTGAAGAATCTCGCCCTCGTCGTCCCGCTCCGGATATTGCCACGAATCCTTGATGACAAAGGCCGTCTGCTGGTCGTCCTCGAGATGTGCCTTCCAGCAAGTGGTCGCCCTTCCAGCAATACAGCGGGATCGTGCAATGACCTCGTCGATGATGAGGCGCTCTGGCCGACTGTTTCGTTCAATCTCGATGAAACGCTTGCCATCAGACGTTTGGATAGTAGGGTCAAACCCTAGCCTTTCTTCGTCCATCCAGAGGAACCCAAGCATGGTAGCCACAAACTCTAGTGCACCTTTGGAGTCGTTAATGTCGAACTGCTCGGACGCGATCCCTCCTAGTCGATCATATTCCCACAACCGCATAAGGGACCCGCACAGCGAAAAGGCCAAGACGAAGCGTCGAGTGTCTTGAGCCGACAACACCTCCCTCGCATACGTTGCTAGATCGATCCATGCCACTGGTGGTGCATCTGCCATTGGGTTGCTCTTCAGCTCGCCCGGCACCAAGACGTGAGACCAGCGGTATCTCCCTGACTTCCCCGCATACGGGTGATAGACGACATCATTGTTGACGAAGCCGACATCCATGCTGCGTCTCCCCGTCGATCCGAGCAAGGGCGTTTTCGGTTGCGCCAGCAGTTTCCGTTGTGTCACGGTGGCAGGGGTGAAATCGACCGCAAGACTCTGCAGCTTGGGTACGATACTGCAGAGCCAAGCCAGCACATCTTGCTCCGCCGCAGCAGCTGGCCATCCAACCCACCCCTCTCGACCAAAGAGTGGCTCTTCACCTTCGGAGCACTTGCGCAAGACGGCATCGGTGGCTTCTTCGAGGCGCGGGACGGACGCAAAGAAGGACTTTCGAAACTTGCGAATACCGACGCGGGGATCTATTTCCTCCTTGAGGACTTGGTCCACCTCGCGGCGCAGTTCTGACGAGTTGAGGATGCTGCTCGTGTTTCGGGTGATTGGGGTGTCCGTCACAGATGACCATCGTACCTGCGGAGGAGGAGGGGGGGGTGTTACTTCGGTAACGGCACTGTAGACTTGGCCCCAGATAAGGACGTCGTGGGAGTTGTCGTTGAGGGCGACTTGGAGGAGGGCCTTGACGCGGTCGAAATCAAAATCGAGAGAGACGATGGTAGGGATGAATTGTAATATATCGGAGAGAAGATTTTGGCCTCTGCCAGCGGAGCGAAGAAGCTGTACTGCCTTGAGTAACTGGAGAGCCGTGAAAAGAGTCAGGGTGAGCTTCTGGAGAGCCTCTTGATCGAGCTGCTCAAGCTGTCCAAGCTGCTCAAGCTGGTCTATGGCGTTGGCGTTGGGCAAAGAACCGGCGAGGTTCAGGGATTCGCACGTCGATGCGAACAAGGCGCGGAAAGAATCAAGGCCGCCCCCAATGGGGTGTTCCTCGATAATCTTCAGCCTTGCCTCGTCCATGCTTCGTTTGAAGAGGCTTTGATCGAGCTGGTCGATGGCGTCGGCGTTGGGCAAAGGGGACGGTTTCGCACGTTGATGCGAAAAAGGGCGCGTAAATAATCGAGGCCGCCGCGCCAATGAGGTTTTCTTCGATGATCTTGAGCCCTGCCTTGTCAGTGACAAAGATTAGGGAAGACAAGGGGAGACGCGTTTGCAGGGATGAAAAACGCCAGCCCGAGACATCAACACGCTAGCGATTCAACATTCCACATGGCGGCGGCTACCCTAGACTTGCGGCATCCCATCACGAAATTCTTACCGCGAAAAGCATTTCATCTTCTATCATCGCTGTATTCTCTCATTGTCGCTACTTTCTGCTACTATTGCCATTCTTGTTCCTACTATCCGCTACTTGCTTCTGCTGTCACTACTTTTCTCAACTATTTGCTGCTCCTTTCTATTATCGCTGGTCACTTCTACCCTGCGCTAAGATCATTACCAACAGCTGATGAATCTGAAACCTGTGACACGGAATAGCGATGGCCGCCCATTCTTGAATAATCTAGATACAAGCTTGGAGTGGTGCTACAAGTACTCCTTGCATGTGCCGCATTTACATACATGTATCGAACCCCCCTCGAAATCCCATGGCCTCAGGCTTACTCACAACCCAACAATACCCCCTCTTTCTCTGGTAGAATTGATTTCTCGCATGACATTTTGAAACCCAGTTTCGGCGATACATTGTAAAAGGGTGTTGCGTGTGGCGATGGTATCGGGCCTCAACGGCCAAAGTCCCGTGTTGAGTAAACAATGCAAACCGTGGAGAATCTTGATCACAAACACGTCGAGTTCGGCGGCCCTCAGCTGCGTGAGAACTCTGAGTGTAAAATACGGGGATCATCCATATCCACGTTCAACTTCTTTATTTGCGTATAGGTGGAAATAACGTCACACTGGCGAATCATTGCCTCGGTTGAAATCTGCCATCACGAAATCACATCCTGCGCTGATACAGTGAAGCACCCTCTGCTTCTGCAATTCTCGGTTGCAAATCACAAAGCCGCCGCGTATCAACTTAGACGTGATTCACCTCAACCTTAATTCCCCTCAAAGTAAACGGAGAAAAGAACGTCATCCCCGGAACAGATGAGCTCACAACCCGCAGCGTCGGATAGAGGTACTTTCCCGCAACGGCGTGGTTGTAGCAGTTGTGCCACGACGGGACATTTCGCTTCATGACGTCCACAGAGTAGTGCATGCGCATCAGCCGGTGCTCGGCATCAAAGTCGTACTTTTGCACCTTTGTATGCGTCGGATATCCGTCGGGGAAAACAACCTCCAACGACGCCCACTTCTCCCCATTCTCGCGCGTTGGGCCTTGTACCTCTCGACTCTGCATCTCCGGAGTTTCGAGGTAAAAGGAAAAGTTGAAGTAATTCCAGTACGCGTAGCCGACGAAATAGAAGAGGTTGTGTACGTCCCACTTCGTTTCCGCCGTGTAATCGTCAAAGACGTCTTTGGGGTTCTTTCGGACGTCGACCGGGTCTTTGGAGCCAGTCTTGCCAACTTCTGTCTGCGTCGGGGTCCATGACCCGTAATAGTCGCCAAATTGCAGGATTGTAACTCTTTGGACTTTTGTATGGACAACTAGTCTGACGTCGTGAGGACCAGGCTGTCCCTTCATCTCCAACGCCAACCCGGAGAATTCAAACTCTACATTGAGAGACTGGATTGTCTCCCAGTACTCTCGGCCACCATGGGCGTCGATGACGCTTTGTAAAAGGCCAGGGCTAGATATTCATTAGCCGTCATGCCCAAACGCAGGCATGAAAGAAGTCGTCAACATACCTAGTATCAGACATGATGAGCAATGATGAGTTGAAACAGACTTCCGAGTTTTCCACGAAAAGCTTTGTGCGGGCCTTATATACTCACCCTCGGCTCCAGCGAAACTCCCCCAAAGCGGGACATTATCGAGGTTTGCAAAAGAACGAGAATTGATTACTCATATATTGGAGCAAATAGTCTCTTGATATGAAACACATGGGCATAAGCGATGCTGTAGCCATTGGTATAATTACTAAACTCAGTAGCACAATACCCCCGGCAGGAGCAGAGATCAGTAAACACCAATAATTTACGGGCCTCAACCAGATGTAATTCCAGACATGATGAGTGACTTGCATGGAACGAGGTTGATTACCAACCCAAATGGCAGCTTGGATAGGTATATAAAGCTGATTGTTGGGACGCCATTCTTCAGTAAGAATTGTGTTGGTCAAAGCCTTGATATAGCCGCTCAACATTCTACAGCCTCAACGCTCCGTTGCCTGGCCAGACTTTGTTGATTATAGACTCTTTCTAGTTGTATCCGCATTCGCCCTTCGTCATGGCGACTGATAGAGGCCTCGAAATCTCGTCGGCCTTCCCGTTCGAAAAGAAAAAGGCCCAAGTCCTCGGTAGGCACATGGCCTATGTCGATGTTGGCACCTCCTCCTCCGGACCCGTCACCGTCTTCTTGCACGGCAACCCAACATCGTCATATCTCTGGCGCAACATCTTTCCACACGTAGCAAAGAACAGCCGCTGCATTGTGCCCGACCTCATCGGCTTCGGCGATTCCGACAAGGTCGCTGGCCTGGAGTATAGAGTCCGCGACCACCAGCGCTACATCGATGCCTTCTTAGACGCTGTCCTTCCATCAGAGCGTGTCATCCTCGTCATCCACGATTGGGGATCTGCTCTCGGCCTGGACTGGGCCAGCCGTCATGAAGACCGCGTCGCAGGTGTTGTGCTGATGGAGTGGATTGCCGCGTTGAACAACTGGAACACTCGAGATGAAACATTCAGAGACCTCTTCCAAAAGTTTCGTACCCCAGAACTTGGCCGCACCATGATCATTGAGCAAAACTTCTTCGTGGAGAAGCTCCTCCCCAAGGGTGTCATTCGAGGCCTGACCGACGAGGAGATGGTACACTACTGCCGACCATTCCTTAACCCCATAGACCGTGAACCGGTCTGGAGATTCCCCAACGAGATACCCATTGAAGGTCATCCGAAGGAAGTGGTGGAAAAGGCCCAAAGGTACACAGCCTGGCTTCTTGCGTCGGAGCTGCCAAAGCTGTTCTTCTGGGTGAAGCCCGGAACGTTCGTTAGGGAGCAAGACTTTGAGAGGCTGAGCGGACAGATGTCGAACGTCAAGACCGTGTTTCTTGGAGCAGGAAGTCATTTCGTTCAGGAAGACTACCCCCATAGCATTGGACAAGAAATTGTGGCATGGATGGCAGAGCTGGGCCTCTCCGGCGTTAGTGCAAGTCTATAGATGATGTCCTTGTACTCTCTCAACATCAATACAACACATAATTCTGTCATGATTAGCCGCTTTTGTTTGTTTGTGCAGAGTCTCGTCTCTCAGTTCGTCTCAGGGACCGTTGTAATACGGCAGTGCGGTATAACTTGCCGCTCCGTAAAGAACATTGGACTTCGTGCCTCCCGGCTTTCGGGTTTCGGACTTGGAAGACGGCACATGTCATTCGGGAATCGCTCCAATCTCAGGCAGGCCATGCTCGTATATATGCAGCTCCTCCTACCTCTGCTGCATTGTCCTTGGTATCTTTCATTAATACCAGGAGCGCTTTCTTTAGTCGATCTGTGCCACTGCTGATGTAGACGTTGTGGGCGGCTTCGCACAATCATCACTTGGCAGCCATCAACAACGACAGATTCCGGATCGAGACAACAACCGATATGCCATCCTGGAGCCCTTCGAAGCTTTCGTCATCTCTCCTCTCAAATATTCGCAATCACCCTATACTCTTCACCTCTGCAATAGCCATCATCCCCTTGGCCGCTCTCGCAGTGCCCTCATACCGTGGCTACATCGATCTTGGCCCCGGTGGCCTCCCACACAACGTCTTCGGTTGGCTTCTTCAAGGCGCTCTACGCCCACTTACTCTGAAGAGCACTCTTGACCAGAGCGTCTTCAAAAAGCCCGGCGTCTCTGATTCATACGAACCTCACGGCACCACCCGATTCCTTCATGAGCCACTTGCACAGCGTCGAGGCAACAGGCCAGTCATCCCAAACTACGTCGCGCCTCAGAGACAAGCCACAGAAAAGGGAGACAAGGCTCTTATGGACCGCATGAATGACCATCTGCAAGACTTGGCAAGTCGTCGTCCAGAGACGTTGGCCGTGAAAGCATCCGGCCTGGAAGCCAGAAACAATCCTGCGCTTTGGCTCACTGGCACCCCGTTGCCCAAGTACCTGATGAAAAGCACAAAGGGAGAAATCGTCCACGTACACTCTGAAGCCAGCTCTCACATGGTCCTCAGCTTGACCGACGCCGAGGAAGCCATGGCAAAGGGGTGGGCTGAGCTGCACCCGCTAAGTGGCGTGATGGGCCGGATTCCGCTGCCGTATGTCATGATATATGCGCCGCGGGATGAGGAGGAATTCGGGGTATGGACAAAGTTTGTGGATGCAGCTATTGCTTTTACTACTGCAGGACAGCATTAGCATCATGACGGCGAATAACAAGGTTGCTAAAGACGGGAATAACGGATGCGATGTGTCATTTTTCTCTTTCAATACCCCGCGTTCACTCAACTCTTTTCATGGGTCATGTATCCGAGATAGTTCTCAGTGTGATTTCGTTCATCTCATTTGAACTGGAGTTGCCTTGTGCCTATGATGACTTTGGATGTGAAGGCACAAGTCTGATATCCATGTTAGAAAGCATAATGTGACCAGCCAAGGATGGAACCGATGCCCATAATTCGAATCATGAGTGGATGGTACATGTCCCTATGGTTGAAAGAATGTCAAATAGCAAACAAGTTCGGTCGAGCAAATGGTGGCGCAGATGATAGCAGTAAGACAAGCGAGCAGTGGTTGTTTTGACGTTGCATTTGGTGCCCAGCCTTCAACAATCCCATGTAACCTATATGCTTTTTGCAAACGAACCTTTCCTTGAGGCACAGACTTGCCGGATATATACAAGATTGAGCAAGTCGACGTAAAGCCTATCCATGACGATGCCAGACAGAGATGACTCTCTCAGCATCTGTCTCGTAAATCAAGCATGCAGCAGCATTCCCTTCAACTCTTTGCACCTATCAAATCCCCCTTTGCTTTCGTCGCTCCTTCTTAGCCTTGATCGTCTCTGCCCAGGCATCCTCAAAGAGCGTCTTCTTCGGCTTGACCTCCCACTCTTGAATGTTAAGCCTCCTGACAACCTGGAACGAACCTGTGCCGACGCTCATCGTCTGTCCCATGATGATACACTCAGACACACCTTCGATGCGGTCAGTCTTCATGCCAGCGGCAGCCTCAAACAGATGGTCCGGCGTCTTTTCAAACGAGGCCAGCTGGAGAACGCTCTCTCGCATCTTGGAGAGACCGAAACGGGTGATGCCGAGGACTTCTCCCTTGAACGTCATGACATCAGACAACAGCTGGATGTGACGCGGGTCAATGTCCATACCAGCCATGACGCTGGAAATCTCGTCGACAATGGTGGTTCGGGCAGCCTCAATGCCCAGCACGTCACGGGCTTCCATGACGGAGTTGGAGCGTGACTTGGTGCCAATCACACCCTCCGTGGTCATGCATGCGCGCAATCCGTATCCCTCCACCAGCACGGTGTGTTCGCTCTGCTCAGAGGTCTGGATGATGGCTCTCGTTGCTTCGTTGTAGCCCGAGATGGGAACCTTGGGAAGCATGCGGCGGAGGTGGTTGACTCGCAAGAGGAAATCGGGGGCCTCCTCCGTCAAGGTAAGGGAGGCAAGGCTGCGCTGTCGCTTCTTGGCCGCATCGGGATCCACCCAGCTGTTGAGGACGTAGATCTTGATGTAGTTGGGACCGACGGAAATGTCTGTTGGCTGGATCTTGAGCTTCTTGAACTTGAGGATGGCTTCTGCAATGTCTATGACACCGATGCCGAGGTGCATGTTTTGCAGTGCCTCCATGTCAATGTACAAAACAATGGTACCTCGGTCGCTGACCCATTCATCTTCAATCGCCTTCAGAACATCAATGACATATGTCTTCTCGATTCGTCCCTTTACGATTTTTGCGGCCTCAATCTGCTTGTCGTTCAACAGAGGGCAGGTAATGACAGGCGTGCTGATATTCTTCGACGCGTTGATGATTTCCTTGATTCGCGGGACGCCCTGAGTGATACTCATACCGGCGACACCTGCGAAATGGAATGTCTTGAGCGTCATCTGTGTTCCCGGCTCACCAATCGACTGCGCTCCGACAGCGCCCACAGCGTGACCGGGCTCGACGTGGGCCTTGTGATATCTCTCCAGGCACTCCTTGACGAACCTCTGCAGCGTCGTCATGGAGACTTTGGAAACTCTGTCAACGCGAGCCAGCTGAGCTTTGAGGTCTGCCGATGCGTCCGCAACTACTTCGTCCTGGCTCGGGTTGGGATCCAATCCAACAAGTGAGCGGGCTTTGGACATTTTTTGTGCTCGATCAGAGACGTATGAATAGATTGTGTCGATGAAGCCTCGTGCGCTTTCGTGTTCGTCCAGGGCTTCGTCGGTAGGATCGGAATAGTCGAGCAGCGCGTTATCCACCAAGCGGCGTCTCTGGTAACGAAGCTTTTCCTTGTCCAGCATGCTACCGCACACTTCGAGCACTTCGTGGGGAAGCAATGATCTCTCGTTGTTGTCCCAGGTAGTGCTCTCCGCGTGAGTCCATGTGCGGTCAAACGCGACAGGCACTGCGGAACCCTCCATGTCGACAGGGTCGAGCTTATCGGCGCCGAACTGGAATTGCACAATGGTCCCTGACGACGTCCTGACAGTGTTGTCATACTGCGTCGAAAGATCCTCCAGGGACTTCATCAGGCGTCTTGACATGTATCCTGTTTCTGCCGTCTTGACAGCGGTATCAATAAGACCTTCTCGTCCGGAGATGGCGTGGAAAAAGAACTCTGTCGGGAACAGCCCAGAGTAGAAACTGTTGCGCACGAAACCCTTGGATGCTGGCTGGCGAGCGTTCTTGTGGAAATGGGGCAGACTGCGGTCCTGGAAACCATCAGGAACACGCTGACCACCGATAATCTGCTGTCCGACACAGGCAACCATCTGGGCGACGTTGATGTGCAGACCCTTGGAACCGGAGTTGGCCATGATGAGCGGAGCATTGTTGCGGCTCAGTGTGTCGACGCACTGTTGACCGGCTTGCTGTCGAACTTTACTGAGGATGCCAGAAATGGAAATCTCCAACGTCTGCTCCATGTCACATCCAGCAGCCTTCTCAAGCTTGCCCTGCTTGAAGGTCTCGATAAGCGCGTCACTCTTGTCGTAGGCGTCCTGCACAAGCCTGTCTCTAGATTTGGTCAACTGGGTTATGGGGAATACATCACCAACGCCGAGCGAAAAGCCCTGATTTCCTAGCTGTCTCGCGCACAGCTTGGTCAACCTGTTCATGGCCATGACGGCATGATCGGGGCCGAAATCACGGAGGATAATGTAAAACACTGAATTCTTCTTGCCGGAGCCGATGATGGACTTGTCCATGCGACCACACATGACCTCAGAGTTTCGGATGACCAGCCAAGCGTCGTTTGGATCCATATCAGGGCATTGCCCAGGCCTGGCCGAGTATTCTCTGCATCTTGCATCCAAGTTGACGAGGACGGGCGACTGCTTGTTCGGACGCATAAGCACGTTGAAGATTTGCTTGCCTGTCCAGAGGGCTTCGGGCTTGATGATTGACGGCGGAGGAAGGTCGATTTGAGTAGCGCCATCTATCATGTGAGTGCAGATGTAAGTGAAAGCCTTTCTGTTATAAAACCTGTCCTTGCTGCTGAGAAGATATGACGCGGTGATGAAATCCTGGGTGGCTGCGATGATGGGCTCTCCGTTCTTGGGCGTAGCCAGATTGTTCTTGACACCCATGAGAGTAATTGCTTCGGCACGGGCTTCTTCGGACTGCGGAACGTGGAGGTTCATCTCATCACCGTCGAAATCGGCGTTGTAAGGTCCGCACACACATTCGTTGAGACGAAAGGTTCTCCATGGTCTAATCTTTGCAAGATGGCTCATGATACTGAGCTTGTGTAGTGACGGCTGTCGGTTAAAGAGAACCACGTCTCCATCTTCGAGGTGACGCTCGACAACGTCGCCGATCCGGAGGTCTCGGGCAACAAGAGCCCTGTCACCAAATTGCAGGTCTTGCTTCCAGTTTCCGTTGTCTTTGATGACATGATTGGCTCCGGGCCAGACCTTTGGCCCGTTTAATATACACTGTCGCAGTTTCTCCAAGTTTTGGTTTTGAACTCGCTCGGGGAACGTCAAGTTCTTGGCCACAAGCTGAGGCACCGCCACTTGATTGATGCCCAGGTTGGGATCGGGTGAAATGACGGTTCGGCCGGAAAAGTCAACTCGCTTTCCCGACAGGTTTCCTCTGAACCGTCCCTGCTTGCCCTTGAGACGCTGGCAGAAGCCCCTGATGCTTTTCCCGAAGCCCGGTTGGTTAAGGCCGGGGACATCACTGTTGACATACATGGCAATCTGCAACTGAAGGTACTCCCACTGCTCCATGATGGTCTGCATTGGTTTTCCCTTGTTCAAGGCCGTCCGTATCAGTCCGCTTATGTAGACGATTTCGGCCAACTTTGCGGTAAGATCATCTTCCGTACTGGCCCCCTCTTGTGCGACGGACGGTCGGATACACACGGGGGGAGCGGGTACAAACTGCCAGATGAACATCTCGGGGCGACCCTCGGAAGGGTCAAGTCCAAGAAGCTCACAGTCTGTGGGAGTGATCATCTTGAAATGGTTGAGAACCCAAAGAGGGTTCAGATCCTCCATGGCCCTCACCAAATGCTTATCCAAATCGGGGTTCAGCTTCTTGGCCTCGTCAAACGAGGCATCAAAAGCAAGTTTGCTCTCCGGAGGCATCTTCTTCTGAGAGGTCGACTTCTTATACGCCGAAAACTTGTCGTGCGTGAGCTTGAGGACTCCGACTTTTCGGATCTGGCCGTTGATTTCGCCGCAGTACGGACACTGCCTACATTTCCTGCACTGCTCGTTGATCTTTTTGCAAATCTGAGTTCGGCGGATGTTGTCTAGTCCCGGCCGGCGCAGGTCCTGTAAAAAGGACCGTCGCTCCTCTTCGGTGAGGAGAACCTTGGCACAGGTTTTGCACACGTTCTGAAGAATCGTCTGGATAAAGCGAAGGTAGCCGATATGGAAGGCAGGGAGAGCCAGTCGGACGTGGCCAAAGTGACCGATACAGAACTTGAGAGGTTCTTGACAGGTGCCGCATTTGCCGGACTTGCTCGAGGTTCCCTGGGACAAGAGGGTCAGCAGGTTGCTGTATAACGCGCGGCAGTTGCATCGCTTGCATATCAAGCAGCTTCCGAAGTTGAGGACTCACCATTCGCAGATCGAGAGCTCCATTGATGAGCGGGGATCGGTTGTTGTCGATATCGTAGAGCATGCGCTGGGAAACCTCCAGCACACCTTGGTTGACAATGTCCTGGTTGGATCTGGCAAGCAGCCGCCGTTAGAAAGCAGTGACCCCCAAAGAAGCTCCCTGTGGCAGAGACAAGACAGCAAAACACTCACTGGATGCCAAACTTGATCCCCTTGAAGCGCTTGGGCAGGTTGTCCGCAAGCTGCTCCTTGGTGGAGCTCACAAATGCGGCGTGCGCCATGGTGTCGCCTCTTTTGGATTGGGATTCGTCTTTGCCGGGCTTGGATTTGCGCTGTTGATCATAAAGACATGATAATCGATTCGGTTTCCAAAGGCCCGGGCAGAGGCGACGTCGCGGCGCTCGGAGTGGGATTGACGGGATTGATAGTGGGAAGCCGAAGGACTGGAAATAAATTTTGAGATGTCAGTCATAGGTCGTCCCCCACCAAGCAATCGATAAGCCCAGCGTGCAGATACAGCGCCCCACCTCCTGTACTAGGCGGGCTTTAGCGGGCTTTGCAGATTTACAGGTCACAGGGATCGCCTAAACGATAGGCGACTACTAGGTACTACCTAGTACCTAGGTAATGTACTTTGGATTGGACCTATGATGCATATGTCGTGGACAGCGAGTATTTCTACCCAGTAGGTGCAATCTGAATACGATTGGATACATTTACATGCATATACAGGCATTGTCAGATGTCTAGCAGCGGATCTGGAGCTTCAGGGGCCTGGACATCATGACTCATTTGACGTAAACAGCTAGGAAAGCCGCTGGCCTGTGGACGTTATTCGCCAAGGTTGCAGCAAACTGAGCTACGTTGAGATTTTCATATTCTCGATTAATTCTGTTCATCTGTAGATTGCTGAAATTACTTATGTTGATCCCGGTGTATTCATCAACATTATCCCTTGAAAAGAGATGAAGCTCAGTCAGAAGAGAGGCCATTTAGGGCTGGTAGTTGATTCACCACAGACACATTCGCACAGTAGCATATCGCCAACACTCACCAGGACACAGACTGCCAGAAGACTGGGATCACATCTGTGTCGCTGTTTGTGCAAATTTGAAAGCTAATTATATTCAATAACTCTTCCATTGCTCAATTCTCTTCTGTTCTATGAAATACTCTGTATTGTGACACCATCTTAGCCTCATATATGGAATACCACGTCAAAGGCTGAATGAGAAGTCGAACATGAATAACATGCACCAAGTTATTGCTCCTTATGTTTGGCAGGTGAATTTTCATCATTCATTGACTTGAAGTGAAAGAGATTAAAAACAGCCTTCTTTCATGACAGAGAAAGCGATTTGGAGGCCACCACGTAATGACACCACCTACTACTCATGTCTCACTTCACTCGAACTAGCGCTTTAGTATATGCCGCTTCGTGAAGAGATTCTGGGTGTTTCACATGGCGGTTCGGAATCCCGCCTCATGATATCCATTATCTTATTGTGACTCAAAAAAATGTGTCACGGGCTGCATTCTCAAGGGGCATATTGTTCCAAGGACTTAAATTAGCCTTGGCTATGTCTCAGCGCTCGGTGACTGTAGCTTCCACTCAGCCTCACTCATTTGTCTAAAGGCCATTTATCATAAACTCAATAGCCACCAAGATGATCATTTCTACATCTGGTCAGAGATGGAGTACTCAGGCCGTTACTCACAATTGAGCTTCGAAGATGCCGGTCTGTGACGTGCATAATGAGACAGCCGAGATGCTACCTTATCTACCCAGTAGGTAGATGATTTGGGGTGTCACTATGTATTCTGTGGTGTAGCAGATTGGCTTTCCAGTTTTTCATAAATCCATGAGCTTCGAAATGCAGTAATCCTTTCGAACTGACAATGCTATTCTTCTTCGTTGCGTGAATAAGGCTGAGGCTGTAAAACAAGGTGATGATTTGTCAAGTCACCCGTGTGTTACAGTCGTCAGAAACACGACTGGCAGGACGACCTTCTTGATAATAAGGTAGTTGACAAATATTTTAGTATAAGATAGATACCCGAGTGACGTAACTTACCAGCCGTGTCTCAGCCTTTTCTCGGTCAACGACAAGACGGATGTCACCAAAGGCGGCTCGGAAAGCGCCACGTCGGAAAGCAAAAGGCGATAATCGAAGTCGCCATTTGTGTACTCAGCGTCAAAAGGATACTCGTATAAAGGTGAATAATGATTTAATATAAGTTGGATCATGACAAGCTAGGACAATTACGTTTGTCGTTGTAACAGAAGTAAATGATGAGATAGGGGCCGGAGCATAGCTTACCAGGTACCTTGACCAGACATGCTCAGTTTGACCAGAGGCTCCGACAATGTTCGAAGAGCCCTCGCGATACTACGAGACCCCTTGCAGAAATGTGATTGCCAATGCGTTTGAATCAAAAGCCGGTCGCATGATAGATGGTCGTAGCCCTTGTGGATTATCACCCGAGTCATCTCAGCACATCACTTCTCGACGCCTATCATGGCAGAAATGAAGACACCCGATTGATGGAATAGAACCAAAGCTTGCCGTTCAAGGAGGCAGTCACTTTTACAGCTCATATCGATGTGATCTGGGACCGCTGAAGTGAAGTTGGTCGGCGAAGCTTCCGTCATAAGGGGGAGGCATGAGATGGTACATGAACAGAGGGTCCGTCAAAGATGCGTGCCATGGAAAATTATAAAAGATGTAGGAAATCCCTTTATAAACCGGGTGAACAACAACGGCAGCTGAGCTTTTACTGTCGGCAAAAACTTATATCCCACAGATCTAGAGCCCCAAGAGTTTGTCCCCCTGCTTCATTAGCCATTTCCATCATCAAAGAGACTGGATAGCTAACCTTCATCAGAATCACCTACTTATCGCCATGATCTTCACCAAGAGTCTTCTCTCTATGGCTGTCGCCGTGCTCCAGCTGGCTTCGCTCTCCAGCGCCGGCATCGCCAGCAGAGCCAATTCCGGCGCAGCTCAAGTCACCTATTCTCACGACGGCAGAACTTGCTGCACTGACGGCGAGCCAGGGGCTGCCTTTACCGGAAGCAAATGCGAGTACAACTCTCATGTTTTGACTCCAAGTATTCCGGACGACACCCATGTGACCAAGTGCTGCTGGAATAACGAGGCCAACGATTTCCATGTTCATTATGCCGACGACAATGAAGTACGCCAAGTATCACCCATGGACATTACAGGAAATGCAACGGTGCCAATCGAGATCTGCAATCTCGGCCTCAAGTGGAATATAACAGAGTACATTCTCACCGACGACTACCTCGACATCAACGTCAACCTGACCATTGGTTGCGGACCGTTCAACTTGTGGGATAGGGAGTGGATTCGCATTCACTTTGACAGCGTATATCGGGATGCCGGCGAGTTTACTTATGAAGTCAGCGAGATCGGCCCAGCCATTTATGCGACAATCACTTCCAAGATTCACCGCAGCGATTTCTCAGTCGACTTCCATGGGGAGCTCACTGGAACGGGAATCCTCAGGCAGCTAGACCAGTCGTTTGATAAGAATCTTAGAGCTGATGAGGTGGCAGCTATCCTCTCTGAGGTAGATATTTGTTAGTTACCTATGAAGAACGGGGGGTTCGGCATGGCAAACAGTATTGCGGGTGTCTCCTCAACCGTGCCTCTCAAACGCTATGCTACTTGATATGTAGGCTGACTTGACAGCGAGGAAAGCTACTGTTCACTCGTTTGGCATCACAGATGCATATGTCAAGTGTCATTTGGTACTTAGATTTTCGAATCATCGTAAAAGCATTCTTGCACGTAGTATTTATTGCTCCCCTGGCTCCCAAAACGCCGGATGCCCCCTCCTAGACAAGTGTTGGACGATATACCCCGAATTAATAAGCATAAAAAAGAATATCCCCTTGACACAACGGTATGCAACCTGGCCTCGTTTGGTTGATGGCGTCGATATCATCATGTCTGGCATGTTATACAGGTAGAAAAAAGGCACACAATGTTCAGAACGCCCTCTAGGCAGCCCTCTTCTTGCTCTTTTGCGTCATCTTTCTGAAAGCCTCCATACCTCCAGCACCAAGGGGTCTGTGATCGGTGTTTCTAGTTCCGTCAAAGGTGCTCTTGGGAGCAATGGTATAGCTAGCAGGGAGATTAACCATGCGAGCCCGGTTACCACCGCCAACAGGAGCGAGCATCCGCTCGCGTTCGGCATCACGAGCGGACTGAGCAGGTCGCTGGGACAGGGTAAACTGAGAGCCCGTCTTGCGGCGTTGAGCCAACTTGGCAGCCCTGTAACATGGTGTTAGCAAACCTGCGATGGGGATGGAAGAACAGCAAGAGGGAGAATACACGTACTCGTAATCAAACTCGCGAGTCTCAATGTGGCGCTTCTTGTAGTCGTCGGTTCGCTTGAGAATCGGACGGCTCCATTCTCCCAGCAGCCTCTCGGCCATTCGCTTGATGGTGGGTTCTGGCTTCTTGCTCCTTGTATAGAACAAGACGACCTTGCCGATTCCACTGCTCAAAAGGGCCTCCTTTTCTATGTTGAGACGCGTCAGAGCCGTGAAAATGTCCCGCTGGATGTTGTAGGCAGGCAGCGAGCCGTCGTTGAGCGGTTCCAGGAAGAACTTGACATGCTGCAAAAAGTTTGTGTCCGGGTCGAGCACGGCATGCTGTACGTTGTTGCGGTTCAAAAGGCCAGCAACTTCGGGGAGTAGCTTGAGCTTGTGGAGGGCAGGCTGTCCAGCTTCACGCGCTTGGTTATCCGCCTGACAGGCACGTTCCATCTGGACCTTGAGCGCAGCCAGCTGTTCGTCAATCTCATCTTCGAGGTCCTAGTCATCGGCGGTCAATTTCCAGATCCATCGACGAGAATCCTCAAAGGGAGAGAACTTACAATCTCGTCCTTTCTCCGGCGCTTCGGGGCAGCTCCACGGCTCTTCATGGCCGCATCCAGGGCCCTGTCGATTTCGCGATTCTGTCGCTGTTCCGGCGTGAGGTTTTCATCGTTCTCCTCGGGCTGGGGGGATGTGGGCTTGACTCTCGGGCGCCTCTCGGTTTCGGCCCGCTTCCTTCGAGGCTTCTTCTCTGCCTCGCCGCTGGAGCCATCGTTCATGGACGCATCTTCGTCTCGTTCTCTACGCTTCTCGCGGCGAGTCTCTCTCGGCTTCTTGGACGTCTTTTCCCCTTCGGCACGCTTGCGTTTGGTGGCCTTGAGAGTACGGGCTATGTCCTCGTCAATCTCCACCGGCCGATCCTCAATGTTTGCCGTCTCGGGATCGTAATCTTCAAACTGGTTCTCGTCGATTTCCGACAGCAGATCCGAGTCGCGGTCAGAGTCGGCAGCGTCCACCTCGTCCAGGAATTCCTGCTCCTGGCCATCATCGACTGGCTCGTTGGCCGGCGAATCGAGGTCAGACATTGTTCGAAGCTCAGCTCGTGCTGGTCGGGACAGCAGGTGAGAGAATACGGCGGTGACTAAAGAGTGAGTCTAATCTTGCGGGAATGAATCCGAGATTCGAACGGAATGCGTTGGGCCTGAGCAGAAAGTGAGACTGTCCTGAGCTGGGAAAAAGATTCATTCCATCTGGTTGCCTTTGATGCAGCGCGTTGATGACATAAGCATTCTTGGGGCGGAACTAGCGCAGTCGCAGCCTCAGGCACCAACTTGAAGCCAAGGGTTTTGTTTACTCTGGCTCGGGCTAATTGGTTGCCACTGACGATTGGCACATGCCCGGCATTCAAGGTGCTACAGCTAATAAACATCCAATGCAGTCGACGCTTACATATTGAGTGCAGCATATCCCGGAACCTTGGATCATGCATTGCACAAGCTGTTGTTACTTTTGCACCTCGCTCGTTTAGAATCGCATCACTTCACTTCACCTCGCATCGCATCGCAGCGCATCATCACCATTGTTTTCTTCTCCAGCGTCGCCATGGAGCGTCGAACTTTTGAAGCTCCCATGGAGTGGGAGTACCAGAACGCTGGGCCTGTCGATCTGACCAGTCCGTTTGCGCAGGTGGCCAGGAAGAGATCAGACAACTGTAAGTGCTCGCGCCAGGAGGCTCTGGGCCTGCAAATCGGCTGAGTCTACGGAAGCTGACCGTGATGCGAAACGCAGTGTTTGGTGGCTCGACTCTCAAGCCATCGACAACGCCCCCGACGACGTCGTTTTCTGTCTTTGGGACACCCTCGTCAAAACCGCCCACGCGATCATTCTTCACTCCCCAGCTCGCCCCCCAGGTTGTGGCACCGCCATTTCGCAACCCTGCATTCACAACACCGAGGAAGCTCGAACAGTCGGATACCTCCTTTACCGACGCCGAGACCTCGTTCACGGATGCCTCCTTCGTCTCGTGCGCCGACGACAGCCCAGCGCAAACCGATGTTTCCATCTTGCCCAACGACACCCCCGAGTCGGATCGCATGAGCGACGCAACCATCAGCAACACGACTCCGACCAAGATTGACAAGAACACGCGCTACAACAGGAGCTCCCCTTGGAGGCATGCGGCGGGCAAAGGAGAGCTTCGACCTCTGAGCAGGGATAAGGAGCTGCAGGTGCTTAGGAAGCGGAAGCGGCACAATATGGACAAGGACGTTAGCAGCGTCATCAGGCATTTGCCCCGAGACTGGGAGGGCGATGTGTCAGATTCGGAGGCGAGCATGGCAGATTATCGAGTCGCATCACCAGGCAAAGTGTTGTCACGACCCGGATCCTCCTCGCAGCAGAAGCACCAGACAGCCCCGACTCTTGCGCCTAGCGAAGGCTGGTTTTTGTCCGCCCTGGGCACAATGGATCGATACCCAGGCGCTCCCGACCACATATACAGGTGGCTGCAGCTCGGCCTCAATTGCCTCATCATGGGCATCATCATGTACTTTGGATGGAGCGTCGTGGACGCAGTGCGATCAGACGTTCGAAACGCCAACGAGATGGCCCGGATGGAGATTATGAGCCGCATCACAGAATGCCAAAACCACTACACCAGCAACCAGTGCGCCAAGAGGAGGGACCTGCCAGCGCTGCGTGCCCTGTGTGACGACTGGTATGACTGCATGTCTCAAGATTCCGACGCCATTATGCGCGTCAGAGTCACGATCAAGCAGATTGCAGAGGTGATCAACGAGTTTGCCGACGCAATGAATCTCAAGGCATGGGTGAGCATAGGGCAAACCAACTCGACGAGAGAGTCCCAGCCCAAGTCGCTAACAAGTTATTTCTCCAGATCATGTTTGCCACAATTGCCGTCTTCGTCATCTTTTCCAACGTCATGCTTGGATGGGGACGGTCCAAGGCACAAGTGGCACCAGCGCATCCGCCCGCCTTCTCTCACGTTCCCATGATGGGCCCAGACACGACGCCAGCGCACTTTCGGACGCGGTTCGAGACGCCTAGATCACAGCGGTATGCCTTTATCGAGGACGACAGAGCCGAAAGCGACATGTCACTCGGCAAGATGAGTCTGGGCTCGGGCTTCCCATACGAGTACGGCACCGTAGGACGACGAAGCCCAGGCAAGGGAGAGCGGACAGCAAGTCCCAGCAAGTACCACCGAAGTCCCGACAGGGGTGGTGAAAGATTAGGGGGCTCTCTGCGCTGGTAGGTACTATAGGCAGTGAGATGAGACGGCAAACGGCGGACTGGGCTTTGCTTTGCTTTCCGTGCATTTCGAAGGTGTACACTAAGGAAATGGGCTTGCATATTTTTACATGTTGTGGCGTTGGCGGCAAGGCTTTGTCAAGGATAAGGGTCTGAGCAACTGGGATTAGGATCGCGCAATCAAGTTTTTATGGCAAAAGGGCAGGTTGAGCAACAAAAAGTGTTATTCAGTATTTATGAGAACCGGAATTCAGAGCAACCCGCGTCTAGTATTTGGTGTTTCGCGTCATGATCTGATGCAACTTCAGGGTAGTACAAAGATATCTGGGTATCACAAGGCTGCGTTAGGTGCTGCACCTTGGTACCTAGATATTTCAAGTATCCGTACATGTATCAAAGGACTTGGGCTGCACATCAAATGTCTTTTTGCATTTATGCTGAATGCCCAGTGTATCTGTACACTGAAGTTGCTTCACATCAGTGGTTCCCTACGGAACACCGCCGCTACCCGGCAGTACGGGAGGCGCTACAGCTGCTGTGCGCTTGTGCGACGCTGAGCTAGGCGTAACGACAGGTACCGTTTAGTAGCACTCAAGTCTCGAATGACCTCATGGCGCATCATTGCCCGGCGAGCAGCAACAACGAGTCCCTGATTGAGTACATCAATGCCCGTACAGCAATATCACTGCAGTCCATGCCAAGGCAAAGGCTGCATCACAAAAAGCCACACCGAATGAGAGATGCAGTTTGCGAGTGACACGTCAATGAGAAAACAACGCTTGTGTTTTCGCCTTGCATTCGTGGGACTTGCTTTTTTTTTTATTGCATTGACTTGATTTGGCTCTGGGCCTGGAATCCCAGAGGTTACATGTATGTACAGGTACCCTGGCCCGGCTGAGCTGAACCTGGAGTTGATGTATCACCTGTGGCATTGACGCTACGCCTCCGCTGGCTTCCGTACAGGTACCGGCTCCCCCACCCGGGATTGGGGGCGGCTGCAGCTGCTGCTATTCTGGAGGGTGCTGGTGGGGACTCGGTATCGCTGAAAGGGTTGGAAGGCCTATCGCAGGGCCCTGCTGGACGACCATCAGTTCGCCTACCGACCTTCGTATGCATCAATATGTGAGTTGAGCATGCACCGCGAATCCCAGAGTCGCAAGGCCACCAATGGCAGAGATACAAGTAACTCGCCGAGATTAAAGGCAAGGCAGCCAAGCGCTCCAACCTGAACTGTTTTTGCTTTTTGGGCGTGCAGAGTTGCAGCGCCTCGTTTTGTTCCCTGCCTGCTGTCGTCATGTTTTCCTGCTGATTATCCGGCTGATGGCACGATCAACATGGACAGCCCAAGTTGACGCGTTGCGCCACTACTCCATTGAATCCATCGATGTTATCTTTGGCGTTATCAAACTTGAGAGCGAGGTAGGTTCACACAATCAAGTGTGACCAGACGGGACTTGAATGATACAGTAGAGCGCCAGCGGGCCAAAGTGCCGAGAGACGTTGGCGCTATCGCCGGGCTCGGATATGTACGAGTACATACATGGTAGCACAGCGCACTCGCTGGAAAGCCTCGCTGCCCCGTGGGCTTTAGCGGCTTCCGGGCCCGCGCAGTGGTGAATCGGCCCCGAGCTTTAGTGGTCGAATAGCGGGCTCTAGCGGCTGGACGAAATGCGCTCTGACGTGCTGGGGCCACTGCAGCTTTGGCCCGCCCCGCTATTCTATTTTGGCGAAGCTCGAGTCGCCTCTTCCATCCATCGCGACTGGACGCTTCCTCTCCCTTGCATAGGTAGAAACATTGTCCTCCTCACCCTCGTCCGTATCGTGCTTTTTATACCGGCTCTGATGCCTCCTCGACACTGAGCTGGTTCCCGCACAACCATCTTTTCCATCCTCCGAGTTCCGTCCTGCTTCCCTCCCCCGAACTCGTCGGCCCTCCGGATAGCTTCCCCCCGCAGCATGTCTATCCCACCACGAGGCTGCAGCTACCGCATCTCGAGCCTTGCAACCGCCCTGGTTCCCCATCGCTGAAGCATTGAGTTGAAGCCTTTCAACAACTTGCCCTGTAGCCATGCCGAAGAAGGGCTCGACACCCCCGAAGCGCCCTCTGGCGGCGGACAAGGGGAAGGGGAAGGCCAAGGCCGTTGCGGACGACGACCATGGCAGCACCAGCGCCGGCACCAGGAGCGACACGACGCCGCAGTCACAGACGACACAGGCCGGGCCGTCGACGTCCAACACGCTGCTCCAGCTGTCTAAGCGCAGGCGTGGGCTGGGGGTTGTGACGCCCAATGCCTGCACGGAATGCCGCAAGAAGCGAGCCAAGGTAAGAGAGAAAGAGAGCAGCCAAAGACAGGCAGCACACACGCCATCCATCCATTGCCATGTCGGCGTCAGCTTGGTCGCGTGTGCTCCTTGCTGCTCGCCCGCCCAATGCCCTGCTTCACGCAAAGGGTCCCGTAATCGAAATGCTAACGCGGCTTTGCATCTTGTAGTGCGACGGCCAGCAGCCTTGCGCGCGCTGCAAAACCACAAAGGACGCTGACTGCGTCTACGAAGTTCCCGTTCGCCAATCCAAAGAGACCCTGCGTACGGAAATCGAGTCCCTGCGCCTGCGCCAGCGCTCTTCCGACCAAGTCTTTGGCGCCTTGATACAGCCGCATCTGTGGGAAGAGGTGCTGGCGCGCCTTCGCGGAGGCCAGTCCGTCGACAGCATCTCCGAGTGGCTCGGGGGCGTCAATGTCACCGGGGCCGCCACGGACTCGATCTATGCGCAGCATGCTGATCCTACCCTGATGGGCCACGACTTGGCCATGGCCTATGGCGGCTCTGGAGCTCCCATTCCGACCATGTCCCTCACAATGGATCCCGGGTCGATTCCCATGGACATGGGGGGTCCGGTCAGCCCTTGGCACTTTTCGTCGCAAAGCCAGGGCGGCTCGACCCGGAGCGGCTCTCACCCGGACCTGATGAACTGGACCTCTGAGATCAGCGTTGCGCCACAGTCGCGGGTTGGCTCGTGGGCAGAGAGCATGCACACCGACCACCTCACCGACGGCATGCACCGATTCCGAGGGATCGAGCAAGTCCTGGCGCCGCTCAACGAGCCCGAAATCAAGCAGCCGGCCGGGACCTGGACCAGCATCACCAACGACTTCAACCTGGTCCAGCACCTGTTGGCCCTGTACTTTTGCTGGGAGTATCCCACCTTTGCCTCGCTCAGCAAAGAGCACTTTCTCCGCGATTTCCAGGAGGGAAGACATCGGTACTGCTCCCCAATCCTCGTCAATGCGCTGCTCGCCCTTGGCTGTCGGTTCTCCACCCAGCCCATGACCAGAGCCAACCCCAACGACCCCTACTCTTCCGGCGATCACTTCTTCAAGGAAAGCCAGAGACTCTTCAACGAGGAGACGGACCACCACTCGTTGACCACCATCCAGGCCCTGGGCATCATGTCGATCCGCGAGGCCAGCTGTGGCCGTGACTCGGAGAGCTGGTATTACGCCGGCCAGAGCATAAGGCTCGCTGTGGAGATGGGCCTGCATCGCATCCACGACGAGGACGACGAGGATGAGCTGGCTGTCCAGTCGGCCACCTTTTGGGGGGCTTTTGCCTTGGATCAGTGAGTTTCTTCTTTTCTTCTTTTTTCTTCTTCTTTTGAGTCTGGCAATCAATCACCTCTCATTTTGAACAAATAAATCTAACCTGAATCTCCCCCCTCTTCCAGTGCATGGTCTCTGGCCACGGGCTCGCTTCCCCAGTGCTCGTGCTTTCCTCACCTGCCACCCAAACCGGCCATCATCGGCGACATAGAAGCCTCGCTCTGGGTACCGTATACCGACGACGGTGAGGATCGCACGACTACCTTTGGAGTGAATAGTAAGGGCCTACATGCTGACGATGACGTATCCGAAGGCGAGCCGTTGCAACGGTCTTGCGAACAGCCATCCAATGTACGTTCAGTTTACAAGTGTTTTTGCGAGCTCAGTGAGCTTGTCCACCAGTCCCTTTATGTTCTTCATTCTCCCGGGAGGCCCCTTACCGCGCGGGACCTCTTGAATATTTACACTCAGTACCTGAACTGGTACGACCGCATCCCCGAGGTTTTGAGGCTGGGACACAACTTTACTCCGGCTGTCTTGTTTGCTCAGTAAGCAGGAAACCCTCTCCTCTCCTCTGACCCCTTTATCCGCGGCTACTTGATGCTAATGTTTTGTGACTTGTGGGGAAACAGCATGTACTACCATTTCGCCATCCTCCTCCTGTTCAGGCCCCTGATCAAGCTCCGCATCATCGGGTCCAAGGTTTCGCCGCGAGACGTTTGCTCTCAGGCTGCCGACGCGATCCAGGGCTTATTAACCTCGTATGCCCAGCTCTATACGCTCCGTAGGACGCCGTCATTTGTCCCATATTTCGTCCTGACGTCAGCCATTATGCATCTGGCCATAGGCGCTAGCATGGTCAAGAGCGACGGCTCCGAAACCAGCGAAGAGAAGATGAAGAAGGCAGCCAAAATAGACCCGCGCGTGTCCGAGGCCCTCAGCCGGGGCATTGCGGACTTGACGGAGATGGCGCCGTGCCACCACTTTGCCGAGCAAGCGCTGAACATCTTGCGATACCTGGCCAAGAAGTGGAACATTGAGGTCAATGTCGACGGCGACAAGGTGCCGCCGGAGGACCCCGACAACCTGGTGAGGCCTTACTCGAGCAGCCTCAACTTCTTTGCACCAAACGTTCAGGAGAGCGACTTTATGTGCGGCTGGGGGGCCAGCGCAGAGATGGTGGAAACGCTGCAGGCGCCCAACATCAAGAAGACGGCCGAGACGGCGGAAAACCCGCTCTTCTGGCCGTTTCCGATGCAGGGAAGGCCGCTGCTGCCTATTGGCCCGGAGCTGGAGCAGGCTGGTTTCATCAAGATTTGATGCCTCTGCTACCTTTTTTTCTTTTTTTCCTCATTTCTATTGTAGTAATACTTCGGGGTTGCGTACATATAAACGAAGCGGTGCGCCTCACGGACGCGGACTGGGTTAGGATACCATCGGGAACTTGACTTATTATGGTGTGGAGGGAATTTGGTATATAGTAAAAGGAATAAACCAATTTGTTTTTTTGTGATTACCTTTATATATGATGTGATGCTGGTCTTTTGATCAACGGTTAACGGGTCACATTGTTCATGTACCTTGGTTCGGATATTCGACCGTCCACATACAATGTATCCATACAGTAAGTAGCCTTCAAATAGCATACTCGTGTAAGCTCTAGGAAACAGTCTATCTTATCCATTATTTATTCTTCCTACTCGTACATCAGTGCCTTGTAAAACAGCACCGTGATTTTCCCCCCAAAATCACAAGCAAGATGCAGGGTAAGCAATTCCGCATTCAGCAACCCCAGCCACAGCCACAAGCACCTCCTCGGCCGTGCGCCACAAGGGGCGTTTGATGAATGGCTCGTACCTCGGCTTCCACTGAGCGTCATCTCCCGGTATCATGGGAGCTGAAATCTCAACTTGACAACAACAAACAACAAACAACCGCCAATCGCCCAACCGCCGCCTCGACATGGTGCTCGGCGACTACGAGGGAGCACAATAGGCGGGACGCGAAACATACAAACAATCAAGCGCTCGGCGTCTGCGAAGAAGAGCCCGGAGTCACAGCTACGGCGACACGCGATAGAACGTGCAAAGGACGCACTGATTCAGGACATCCAGAGACGACGAGACACGAGCAAGGCAAACAGGCGCAGCAAGCAGATGCAATGCCGGCAAATGCAACAAAACCGGCGCCCAATCGGCCGCAGCGGCGCGTAACGGCCGGCCAGATCCTGTCGATGCCGCCGAAATGGCTGGGCATGTACGACGACTTCATCACCAAGAACGCCGGCCAGGTGTCGCAGATTGAGAGCGCGCTGAGGAGCTTGACGTACATCATTCCAGGTTTGTTTCTCTCCCTCCCTCCCCCTCCCTCCCCCTCCCTCCCTCCTCTGCTCAAGACCGTACATTGAACTAACTGTTGCTGCTTCACCCCCCCCAAAAAAGGCCGCTTTCGCGATGCTGAAATCGCCTCCGAGTCGATTCACTCGGGCGTCCAGCTGCTGTCGCTCTACCACGACGGCATCCTCTCGCAGGCAGTGTCCAAGCTGCCGACGCCGCCGGTCCGGTCGGCTCATGCGCGCTACACGCGGTACTGGACGCAGAAGAGCAAGACGTACCGCAGGATAGCCATGGTGCTGCAGATGGTCGTCTACACGGAGCTGCTGTGCGAAATGAGCGCCAAGCGGCGCGGCGGCGAAAAGTCCCGGTGGAACGTCATCGTGCTGCTCGAGGCCATCAAGGCCTTTTGCCGCCTCATCCTGCTGCGCGTGACGCGGTCGCGCCCGCTCGTCACGCCGGTGCTGCCGGAGCGAGAGCCCATCCCCGAGGACGACGACGTCGACGAGGATCTGGTGACGGCCAGGAGCGAGAGCGAGCTGATGGACGAGACTTCGCCCGACGGATCCGCCGTCCTCGTCGGCGGCGGCAGCAGCAGCAGCACGCCGCCGAAGTCCGCGTACGAGAAGGAATGGACGATGCCGCGGACGGGCATGAGCTTGCCGTCGTTGCCCAACCCTGGCGATGTTGGTTCGTACCTGCTGGGGCGCGTCTTGACGGCCGACGACATCAAACCTGCCAACAAGCTCCTCAACACTCTGCAAGGAGGCGGCCAGTTTGCCGAGATGCTCCACATCCTGACGCCCTTGATCTACGCGGTGGCGCTGGCCAGGACAAAGAACAAGAAGTCGTGGACGCCGTGGCTGGTGGGCGTGGCGGTCGAATACGTCGCTCGCCAGCTCCGCCAGCGCAGCCTGCGAACCTCGGCGCTGGAGCGAGACGAATGGAACAAGAGAGGCTGGGCCATGATCTGGTGGATGATGCGCGGTGCTTTCTACGAGAACGTGACCAAGGGGGCCGTCAACGGGGTGACGAGCAGAATGCCGGGCTTCATCGGCGGAATCCTACAGGACTACGAATATCTGTGGGAGAATTACTACTTCAGCACGAGTGGCTGATCGACTGTTGTTCGAGCAAGACCATGGAGCGGTGGCGCTCATTCATCTTCTCTCTCTCTCTCTCTCTCTCTCTCTCGCTATATAACTTGTATTGGTGCTACCGAAGCACATTGCGCAACTTTGTCTCATCTTTTGGCGAGATATATATATATATATGTGATACGGTTCGATTCTGGTCTCGGAGCGAAGCGGATAGGACTGGATTGGGCTGGACCGGACTGGACTCATCTGGACTTGAGGGGGGGAAAGGCGTACAGGCTGTTATTTCTATATATGAAAAGGGAGGAAACTTGAGACAATTCTTTCTAAGCGGTTCACTTGTTGTCAGTACCAAGACACAGAAGAGGGCCGCTGTAATACAGGCACAGGCATCGTGATAACAGCATTTACAAACGAAATCTGACGCAGCCGCCGGCATTCGCGGAGATACGAGTGGAGAGGGAGATGGATGTCAACCCGGGGATTGGCTGGGGGGCCACTTTGGCAGACGCCGCGGCATCTCTGCGCTGCTTCTTTGTCTCTTCTTGTTCTTCTTTTTAAACGAGAAGCTATAGGCTGGCAAGGGTGAGGAGGAGGATACTATATATCCTGGTTGCTTTTTACGTGCTCCGGCCCCCTTGTCCCTGTCGAACGGAGATGACAGAAAAGCTTTCGGGATACCATGGAAGAAAGAATAGCCATGGGCAGCGAGCGCAAGAAGAGCTGTTTTCGTCATAGACACGAAGCGTTATCCTGGTTGGTGGTGGTATTGCATTGATGCTTGTGTTGTTGGTGTTTCTTTGAGGGGAAAAGACGAAGGGTTTTGGTCATGCTACGAGAGGTTTCCTGCTTTGTGTTTGATGCGGCGGACTGGACGGGACTGATTCTGCTCGTTTTATTTTATTCTGAAGTGTGGTTTTACTTGTGAAAGAAGGGGAATTCTTTGTATACCTGTTTGAGTCGGGGAGGCGAGACTATGTTTGTAGCTCTTTTTCTTTTCTTTTGTCAACTTGTATCATCTATCGACTATCTGTCCTATCTATCTATGGCTTGCGGAGTACGCTTTTTGCTCTATTTTATTAATTCAGGGGGCGGCGGTGCTCAAGTTGTTGTATCAAACAAACAACTGGACAAACAGACAAACAGACAAACACATGCAGGAGGATGCTGGTAACATGTGTATCAAGGAACTTCCATGATTTGACCTTGATGTGATGTGACGTGATTTTAATTCAACGTAATTTCTCTCGTCAAACTTCTTTTGCTGCTGGGTAAGCGAAGCGAGAAGCGCAATCTTTAATTTACGAACCCTTGCTTGACAGGCGAAAAAACCTCGTGGTCCGACATCACACAATTCATACGACTTATCCATCCCCTTGCTCTTTTTTTTATTTGGCATACAATGATGTGATCAATCAGTCATCAACCTTGTTTGCAGACTCTTTCTCCGCAGGCATTATTAATCGGCTGTCCACTGTGGCTTTTTCATTTCCTCATCGTATTCACAAGAAAGACTTTCAGGGTTTTTGGCTCTTCCCCTTGTTTCCACTTTGACACGTTTTCCGTGGAGAAGGGATCCGGGTCGGAGCGGGAAGTGGACCTGTTCTTCTTTCTTTTTTGATGAGTTTATGCGTTAATGGAGGATCTTGGGAAGTCATTTTCTTTGCCGAAAGACGAACGCGTGGTGTCTATAGATAGACGTGGCTTAGGTTTGTGTGATTTGGGGGTGGCAAAGGGAAGGCAGTCCTGACTAGGGGGCAGGAGGAGATGATGAAACGTGAAAGGGCATGCCACGAGGGGGTTTTTTATGTTCTAATACTAGCTAGCTGGCTGGCTTATCATAATTCGGAAAGGAATAGAATGAAGAAACAAGAGACCGGTGGTTTTCTTCTTTCGTGGCTTTGTCTTTGTAATGATGATAAGAAATGACAGGAGCTTCAGCCTGGCAGGGGTAAGCGTCGAAAAAGAACTTATGCCGGGGGGGCGAAAGAACAAGAAGAAACCATCAAGGGAAACGTGCCGGTTGGCTTCGCGACCAAAGTGGAGAGATGGGAGGGGGGGAGAAGGAGAGAAAAAAACGTGGCTTTCAAGATTGGATATCTTTGTCTGAGCTCTGCTTCTTTTCCTGGTTGTTGAAGGGGAGGGGGTGGTGGTAAGGGTGACATTGAAGGGGAACAGCCTCGCGCGGGAATAGCGAAGGATTGGATTTGCTTGGGCGATGCTACGCTTCTTGATGCGTGTAAGACGCTTGTTGGGTGCGTGTGTGCAAATCTTTGGTAGATGAGCTTCCTCTTACGAACAGTCTCGTTAACTACCTTACTGTTCGTTGATATCGTATCGCCGAGAACTCGCGACAGGATTCTCAAGAGAGAGAGCCGACTTTACTGGTGGGTGCCTCGGCTTCTCAACCTTTCAATGTTGCTGCGGAAGAGGGAAAAAAATTGGGAAGCCTAATCTATCTCCGACAGCGCGGCTGCGCCAGGGGCTTTTTTTTTTTTTTTTAGTCAGTCAGGCATGGGGGATTTTCTGGAGCTGGCTCTGGCCTCTGGGTGTTTCTTGTTTTCATTCTGGTCTGGTCTGTTTCTCCGACTGATAATGAGCCGACTCTGTAGAGCCCGTTACGAGAATTGCCATGTTGAGGCTGTGCTGGAGATGCAACCTTGGACTGTATCATGGTCCCATGCTCATATGATTGCAGTACTTTGCTTGGCGTCGAGCGTTGCTCCTTTTGAGTTGGGGAAGCTTGTCGAAGCCGAGATTTGTGCATGAGAGATGCATCACCACGGGTGCTTTTGGTAGAGTCAACATCTTCTGGGCATTGGCATTACATCATACATCAGACCAGATTTCGAAGAGAGTTTTACAGTGGTGCTCCTACTGTACGGGAATGAGATGAGCCATGACATGATGGGCAAATCTCGATTCGGCGTAGAGCCCATTACGGAGCGGGAATGGGGGAAAATGGTAATACGGAGCACTCCGTATTTTCAAGACAAGGGGGGAGTGGAAGGGGGATCCCCGTTTATGACGCGCGGGTTGTATGACAGCGCCTAGCAGCGCTTTTATCCTCCATCGTCAAATCTCACGAATGACGGAGCCTGTTTGAGCGTTTTGATGTTTCAACTACTGCCAAGTTTTTGCTCGTGATTACTGTTACCAAATACGGGCGTCACGGAGACGAGAAGGAGGTACTTGGGCTCTACTTGGAGGGACTCGCGATGATGGGCTTTTGGCTGATGTTGTTTCTGGTGCTAAAGCGAGTAGCTCCGAACTCAGCCGCAGCTCAAGTGTTTCAAGAAGGCCATCGCCATTGGATCTGCGGCAGCTTTTCACTAGAAGCGCGCGACTTAGTTCTGTGCCGATGGTTTGAAGTATTTTCAAATCTTTAGCTCAAGTCGATCATGAAGAAAGAGAAAAAGAAATTGAGAAAGGCGGAACAAGGTCAGAGAGAGAGAGAGAGTTGTGGTGTCGACGGTGCATTAGTGTGAGTGAAGATCAGAAAGGAAAGATAAAAAAAAAAATGAGATGGTGTCGATGTGCCTGGCTAATTGCTGATTCCGGCCAAGAGATCGTCGCAAAAGGTTTCAGCCGTTTGAAACACAGCTCGTGGATTGAAGAAATTTCTTTGGGGCTGGGCTCGTTTCCCTTTTCCCTTGTCCCTCTTTTGAATTGAACAATTGCAGAAAGAGGCTGAGACATTTGACTCACTCTCGTCCGCTCATCCCTGGCCGGCAAACCAAAACGGTTTCTCTCGTGCCGTGCAGTTCTGTAAGCAGCAGCAGCCCCCCCTGTCCCCCGTTGATTTCTCACGTTCCACGCAAAAGGGAAGCAAGGGGGAAAAAAGAAGGGGAAGAAGAAACCAGAGAGAAAACAGAAGGTAAGCAAGAGACGAGCCAAAGCCCGAGCGTACGGCACAGGCACAGGCACAGGCACAGGCACAGGCACAGGCACAGGCACAGGCACAGGCACAGGCGCTGATGAGATGCATATGAGCATCGACCATCTCAGTAAATGCGACCCGTCGCCTGCTTGGGCCTTGGCTAGACGCGCCTCCGCGGGTTATTGCGAGCTACTACGAGTGCTACTCCAACAGGGGGTTTGACGCTGTTCTCTTGGTTGTGTTTCCCTTTTGTATGAAATTGAGTTGGCGCAGAAATGGAGCGACAGGGGCTGCATGCTGTCATTGGTTCGCAGCGTGTTGGTGCCGTTTATTGACTGTCTTTTTTTTTTTTTCACTCTCTCGGTCCTTGTGTGTGTCGTGGCAGAGAAAGCCATGGCTATCCCTGCTGCCACACAGCTCTGATTTCCCACTCACACACACAATCACACACACACACACTCTTACTGTACACTCAGACAGCTCAAGACACCCGCGCACCCCTGAGCTAAACGAAAAAAAAGAAAAGAAGACAGAGAGAGAGAAAAGAGAGAGTAAAAAGGACACAAAAAAAAGAAAGTGTGTGTGGTAGGGGACGAGGAATCGATATCACCCTACCCGAACCAGTCACGGCCCAGCATTTTCCAGCCGTTCAGCAGGCCAAGGTTTGTTGAACTCCGTAGTAATCGCCGAAGTCAAAAGCAATTAAGCATTGACAGGCTGGTAGATTAAAATGCAAAATTACAGAGAGACATTGATTAACACCGAACGAGCTGTGTAAACGCGTATTTTTACACATGGACCAACAAGATTTCAATCCGCAGCCGCCCATGCACACTGTCTACTCCGTATAAAGTACTACCTCACGTTGCCTTTCCCATTGGTACGAGTACATGCCAGTACCTAATGTATGGCTGCATGGTTCTCCATGTACCGATACGGGTACCGCGTACTTGTGAGTACATACGATGCCATCCATGGAGAACGGGGGAGATGGGAGATGGAGAAAAAAAGCAAAAACGGAGATGGGAATTGCTGGCTTGCCACGCTAGAGAGCGCACGGATTGCTGCTATTGCTGGTAACACGGGGGCTACATCAAGAAGAAGAAGTGGGAACGGCATCGTCATTGCTCGTTTCTTTTCT